ATCCATTCCATTCCCTCAGAAACATGAGAGGAGTGTTATGATTAATTAGGAGCCCAAATACCCAAGGGGCTCGGGCCGGTAATTTGAATGAGGATAAGAGATACTGGTCTGGTGACTCAGGTAAAACTGGGAGTCCGTTCCTAGTCCAAAGTGGTGGGCATTGCCAGTTTTTGGCACAGGAAGATGTTGTGTAAGGGGAGCTCGAGAGACCTATTATTTCAGGTGAAATTTCCCAAGTTTCAAAACGGTGGCCACTTATCAAAACTGTTAAAATACTTCGTGTGCTACAGCTTCTTAGCTCACAGTTTGAGACCCTATGACTTAATGATCTGGGGTCACTTTCCACTCTTGCTCTCTAACCGTGGTTACAAATCCAGAATAATAATAAAAAAGATGATTAAGGAACTTTGAACTGTTCTTTCTGTTGCAGGAAGGGGGACCCCTTCCAGGGCCTGAAACTGGGCTCTTGTCTAACACTCAGAAATGAATTGTCCGAGGAGACACATGTGCTGACAAAGCAAGAGATTCTATTGGGAAAGGGCACCCGGGTGGAGAGCAGTAGGTAAGGGAACCCAGGAGAACTGCTCTGCCACGTGGCTCGCAGTCTTGGGTTTTATGGTGATGGGATTAGTTTCCGGGTAGCTTTGGCCAATCATTCTAATTCAGAGTCTTTCCTGGTGGCGCACGCATCGCTCAGCCAAGATGGATGCTAGTGAGAGGGATTCTGGGAAGTGGACGGACAGGCAGGGTCTCTTCTCGACCTTTCCTGAACTCTTCCGGCTGGTGGTGGCTTATTAGTTCCATATTCCTGATCAGGATCTCCTGTCATAAAACAACTCATGCAAATGGTTACTATGGTGCCTGGCCAGGGTGGGCGGTTTCAGTGTGGTTCCCCTGACTTCCAGTTTATGAAATGTGTTCTCTTCACATTTGGGACACAGCAGTAAATTTTAAGAATATATCCATCTGAGGTTGGATGGCATCACTGACTCGATGGACATGAGTTTGAGCGAGCTCCAGGAGTTGGTGATGGACAGAGAGGCCTGGTGTGCTGCAGTCCATGGGGTAACAAAGAGTCGGACATGACTGAGTGACTAAACTGAACTGAACCTGAGATCTATGCATCTGACTCTCTGGCTGCTAGGATAGGCAACCCCAAGTTTTCATAGAAATGAAGTACAGCTCAAACCCCACAAAAGGCCCTAACCTTTCCAGTTGAACTTTCATTGTGAAAATCCACTCTATGTTCAAGGAAGGGTTAGTTCCTAAATTATTTACTACTGCTCACTTTGCAAAACTGTTAAAGACAATCACCATAAACCACCAGTAACAATTTCATAATTATGAATTTTATTCCTAAATAGAAGATGAAAAAATTGAACCCAGCAGTTTATTCAAAGAATAATGAATATATGACTAAGCAAAGTTTATTTCAAGAAGGTAAGGATGGGCTGAACGTTAGAAAATCTGTTGATTCTTGTGTTATGACTTCCCTGGTGACTCAGAGAGTAAGAAAATCTGTGCCTGCAATGCAGGAGATCCAGATTCGATCCCTGGGTTGGGAAGAGCTCCTGGAGAAGAAAATGGCAACCCCCTCCAGTATTCTTGCTGGGAAAAGTCCCAGGACGGAGGAACCTGGGGGCTACAGCCCATGGGGTCGCAAAGAGTCAGACGGGACTGAGTGACTAAGCACATTTATACTTGTGTTGAAAAAAAATGGAAAACTGTGGGAATTGTGAGTTAAGTTTTGTTTGGGGAAAAATGAGGACTACATCCTTTCAGATGGTTCTGAGAAACTGCCCCGAGAAGGCAAGAGGAGGAGTCAGAATATATAGGAGTTTTGCAACAAAGGTTCGGTAGTCATCTGGCAACACTAAAAGATTACTGTTAATGAAAGAAACCAGATACGTCAAGTTAAGGAATTTAGCACTTTTCTTTGTATGGGAAGATGCAAGAGTCTAGATGCACTGAAATCATTCCTTTGATCTGCATCTCAGCTTTCTGGGGCCTGTCTCCTGTATTTTCACATCCTGAGTTCCCTCAGGGCTCATCAGCCCGCCATCCAGGGTGACTGCAATTGTTGGTGGCTGTGACATCCTTTGTTAACTGATACGGCAGGATATATTCCATTTCTCACTAGTGTAGTTCATTATATTCATGAGTCAGAATAGAAAAGGAGCACAGTGACAACACAGTTGATAAATTTAATATCTTTCCCAATTAAACGCTTATAGTAAATAAGTAAATAAGAAGGATGATGTGTATGTGCTCAGTCGTGTCCGACTCTTTATGACTCTCTGGACTATAGCCGGTCCTCCTCTCTGTCCATGGGATTTTTCAAGCAAGACTACTGGAATGGGTTGCCATTTTCTCCTCCAGGGGATCTTTCCCACCCAGGGATCAAACCCACATCTTTTGTGTCTTCTGCATTAGCAGGGAGATTCTTTACCCCTAAGCCATCGGGGAAGTCCTTAAAGATGATAGTGTTCTAACACCAACTGGGGCAAATGCTTGTCATCCTGAGTTAAAGACTAATGCCTATTTTCTTGTCCTGTATTGATATTTTGGACAATGCAAGAGTGAAAACTGCATTATTTGTAGGTGATATGATTGTTAAAATAGAAATTTTAGAGATCAGTTATTAAAACTATAAGACATTTTCAGTGGGGTAGTATACAAGATAAATACATACAGCACTCCATAGCTTGTATGTACGTTACATACGTTTTCATTTGAAATATCCATTGCGATTAATATTTAAGTCGTTTTCAAGTTTTTACTATTACAAAAAATATAGCAATAAACATTCTTGTACAGACCATTTCTGTACATTTATTAATTTACCTCCTTGAAATCAGCTCCTAGAAATGGAATTGTTCAATGAAAGATTATGGAAATTTCACATTGCCAAACTATGGGGCAGGGACCTTTACTTAAACTTTTTTTTTTTCCACTTTATTTTTTGTCAGATGGCTAACCAATTGCCCCAGTATTACTTACTAAATAATCCATTGCTTCCCCACCACTTTATAATAGATTTACTATATGTATTGGATTGAAGGATATCTGTATCATAGTAAGTGAAAGTCAGACTCTAAATCTGTAGGTGTCCTTTGATGAACAAAAAATTGTTCGGTGGAGGTGTATAAAAGTTCAGAAGTATTTTTTTTTAATGTGGAGCATTTTTGAAGTTTTTGCTGAATTGTTACAATAGTGCTTCTGCTGTTTACATTTTGGTTTTCTGGAGGAGTGGCTTGTAGGATCTTAGCTCCCTGACAAGGGCTGGAACCAGCACCCCATGCATTGGAAGGTGAAGCCTTAACCACTTGACGGCCAAGTCCTTCAGAAGGATCTGAAATTGTTTCATTTTTGTTTCCTATGGGCAGATAGTACTTCTTTGCCTAGAAAATTCTTCCCCTCTTGCAGCTCATTTTACCTAGGTAACTTCAATAGAAGGGCATCCTTGAAATCTTAGCTCAAATTTCTTGGTGGGTGTGGGGTAGGGGAGCTTGCCATAGGGGGTAGGCAGACACCCTGTCCTAGGTAAGCATCCTTTCAAAGAATCCTGTACTTGCAATACTACCTACAAACCACCCTGCACCTTCTTACTTATCTAAATTACACCTTATTGTTTCTCTGGACCCCAAGCTCCACGAGGGCTGAATACAGGTCAGTCTTATTCATTCTGGAGCCTAGCACAGTGTCTGGCAAATAACCGTCACTAATTGAACACTTACTGTTTGCCAAATACCGTGCTAGGTGCCTTTAACGACCTCACTACACCCTTCGATACTATATCACCTCAGTTCTGAGTGTGAAGAAACCGAGTCTGAGCGTGAAAGCATGTCCTGTAGGCTATTAATTCCCAGGCCTGTCTACCTCTTGGTCACTACGCGGTCGTCAATAGAGGAAGAACCGCCAGCGAGGCTTGAGGTTCTCTCAGAGAGCACATTACATGGTAACCGCAGTCCTGGAGGGTGCTTGGACTGCTGCTGCTGCTACTAAGTCGCTTCAGTCGTGTCCGACTCTGTGCGACCCCATAGACGGCAGCCCACCAGGCTCCCCTGTCCCTGGGATTCTCCAGGCAAGAACATTGGAGTGGGTTGCCATTGCCTTCTCCAATGCATGAAAGTGGAAAGTGAAAGGGAAGTCGCTCAGTCGTGTCCGACTCTTAGCGACCCCATGGACTGCAGCATACTAGTCTCCTCCATCCATTGAATCTGCCAGGCAAGGGTACTGAAGCGGGTTGCCATTGCCTTCCCGGTGCTTCGACTAGAGAACCCTTTAAAAGCCCCAGGACCACTCAGACCCTCGCAGGCCACGCCCCCCCCGCGTCGAGGCCGGAAGGGAGCGTCAGGGGCGGGGCGGGCTTCCGGGGCCGGGGCGGGGCGGGGCCGGCGTTGGTTGGCCGGCTGCAGCCGGAAGTCGGAAGGTTTGGGGTCCGAAGACGCCGGCTTGTGACAGGGGAGAAGGAGGCCTACGAGAGGGTTGCCTCTCCGTCCCTTGGCTCCCGGGGACCCTCGGGAAAAACCCAGTGCCCCGACCCTGCGGCCGACCCCTTCCCCTAGGCTCTCTCCGCTCGATTTCGCCACCGCTATGTGGGAAGCGAATCCGGTGAGTAGCCGGGTGGGATGGGGCGGACCGATGGGCGGGGTTGATGGGAGAGGGCGGGCGGAGTTCCCGGGAACTGCGCCCCACCCCCCTCCCCGGACCCCTCCTGGCCCTGCCGGCCGGCTGTTGAGTTCCGGGAACACTGAGGCCCCGACTTCGGCGGCTCCAGCAGCACCTTGGGAACAGTGGAGAAGGCTCGGTGGGTCCCCAGCGCCGGACAGGCTGGCTCTCCTGTCCCATTGATTGATTTGGACTCACTGTGGTTTCTCTGTCCCCCGTCTTTCCACACCGTCGTTTTAAACTGTGTTTTGCTGTCTGTCTGGCGTTTCCTGGGCCTCGAACTTGTGAGTCTTCGTTAGGCTCAGGTATACTTGCTAGCCCCTCACCTCACCCCTATCTAAAGCGAAGGGGATTTCCCCCCGGGCTTTCCCCTGAATGGGCCTAAGGGGAACTGCCTGGGCTCCTTTCCCTTTTTTGATGGACAACCTGCGAAAACTGGGGTGGGAGGAGTGGAGGGGCGAGCGTGTGTTCTTAGATTTCTTTTTTCCTCCGCCGGGTGGACAGAAGTGATGACCTGGAGCGTTTCCGCTGCAAGTCGTTCTCCCTCCGGTATTTGCATTGTGTCTACAGATATTTTTGTTTATTTTGCTTTTGTACCTTCAAAGAGAGGAGTCCGTTTCCCAGGAGTATTCCTATTAGTCTCTTGTTAGAGGCGTAGTTGCCTGGCAACACAAATAGACGCTGTTTACACCTTTGAGTTAACTGGAAAATGGCAGAATCATGTATCAGCGAAGTTTTGGCCAAAATATGTGCAGTTACCCCATCTGCTGAGAGAAATTCCTGAATCTACTTTAATAACCCCGTTTCCAAATTTGAAGTAACTCCTTTTCTGTCATCAGTACTTCATCTTCCCCATCCCTGGAATATATTTTCAGGTAAATTAGGAAGTTATCAGTAAATTCCCATCTTGTTGTTCCCCAGTGGAAACTAGTCTGTTGCTCTGGATTTTTTCGCTGCATGTTGTGGTTCCATCCCAGACTTTCGTGTAATGATGGTCATCATTTAAGACCTTTTTTTTTTTTTTTTTGGCTCAAACATAGCATCCTCTAATATAAGGCCACATCAGAGGAAAGTAATTGCCGGGTTTTGATTTTAGCAAAAATAATTGCAGATTGTGAGAATGTATTCTGCTTATATATTCACTTTCGCGGTCATCAGTCAGTTTCATATATTATTATTATATGTGTGTTTGTGTGTATATTCATTTTTTATTGGCTGTCCTCTTCCTGGTTTCTCCATAACACATCTTTACTCATCTAAGTACATGTCTTACTCAAAGTCACATGTCTTAAATCCTTCAGCATGTTGTAAGCTCCAGAGGGGCAGAGATTTTTCTCTGTTTTGTGTCCTTTGGCGTCCACAGACTAGGGAAGAGAGCCTGGCATATAGTAGGTGCTCAGTAAATGCCCATTGACTTCACAAAGGCCATTGTATGACACTGGGAAGACTCCTTTGCTCCATTTTTTTTCTCCTCCATCACATACGTATCAGAATTCACTGTTAGGTCACCGGTGTGTTTGTGAGGATTATAGAGGCACTAGTGGATATCTCCTCTATTTAGTTTGTTATGGCATTATCTCACTTCTTTGGAAGGAATACTTGGTTTTCTCTGAAATCACTCTAGCGATTTTGCTTGATTTCAGTACAGCAGCCTGACTTTTGTTAATCGTGATGAACTTTCCACCTACAAACCCACATTCTTCTGACCCTTGTCATGCCACTCTAATATGTCTTAATACTCCTGTGTTTTCTTACTGATCCTGTTTTTATTCCTCTGAGCATGTGAATGCTGTCAATAAGGACAGTTTGTGAAGTGAAAGTCGCTCAGTCATGTCCAACTCTTTGCGACCCCATGGACTATATAGTCCGTGGAATTCTCCAGGCCAGAATACTGGAGTGGGTAGCTTTTCCCTTCTCCAGGGGATCTTCCCAAGCCAGGGATCAAATCCAGGTCTGTTTTGTATAAATACAGTCATCATCCTGCATTTGGGTTTCCTCTGGTAATGTGTTTGTTTCTTATAATAGAAGAAGCATCTGGATAGTCTGTCCAGCTGTGCTCCTGGAATAAAAATTAATTTTAATGTTTCTCTAAACCAAATTTGGAAGATGGAAAAAAAAATGCATCCTAAAGATAAATACAGATGACTCTTGTATTACCCGCCAGTGTAAGTTACTGTTTACCATTTCTTTCCATTGAACAGTATAATAAATTCCACTTTGTGGAGGAAGGCATAGTGAACTGCTTTAATTGAAGATGTCTGCTAGTTTCTCCCTGTGTTGTTTTGGTAGTATCCATGATGCTGATATGCCACCTGTAATCTGCAAATCTCCTCTGGCAGATACACCTCCTGTATGATACTGTATTCTACTCACAAGTGTTTTGGGGAGATACTGCACTGACTCTGGCTGTGGTAATACTAGAAGCAGCCACCCCCTTCCACCTGGAAAGTCCCCCAGACATGTTTGGAGTGTGGAAAATCACCACGAGCTTGCAGCATTTCCTTGGGTGGGGGGAAACCCCATACAAGAAAACCAAGGGGCTATAAATAAACTTTATCTCAGCACGCAGTTTTATTTTCCTTTTTCAAGACAGTCATGAGGTTGGTGGTGATTCTGTTCAAGGCTTTTACCAGCCAGGCACTGACCGAGGCAGATCCGGTTGACAGGCGGCAGGCTCTCAGTTCCAGTGGGGGTTCCTGGCAGTTCCTTGGCCAGTGTCCCCCAGTTTAGGAAAACGACAAGATCTGTAGAAAGGACTTGGAAGGGGCGCCATCCCTGCCTTGACTGCATACCCTGAGCTTGCCCTGCCTTTTGCTCTCTCTGCCATTGTCTTACCACTCTTTGCTGAAAATAGATAAAGTGTCAACGTTACATGGGAGGAAGTTCCAGCTTCTCTCTGATGACAGAAAGTGAAAAGTAACAAACGTCTCTTAAGATAACAAATCATTTTGCAGTAATAGGCTTTACTTCATAAAGAGTGATATACTCTTGCAAAATTCCTTTTCCCTTGTTAGCTCAGATGGTGAGAACAGTCTAGTGACATAGCAAAGGGAGGAGGAAATGACTTTCCCAAGATCAGGCAGGTGGGGAAGCCACAGAACTGTTAGCACCCTTGTCCTCGTTGCCTCCGTCCTGCTGCTTGGCGGGAGCCGTGATAACGTTTGTAAGTCAGTGCAGCGCTCCACCTGCCAAGCCTCCTTTTCCTCTGTTGTTTTATCATCAGAGCTGAGCTGCTTCCAGACTTCTCTCCTTTCTCTGTCCAGCGTCTTGAGAGAATAGTCTTACACTTTTTGTCATTCTTACTCAAACTTCAGCTCCCCCAGCCCCACCTCTGTCCCAGCACCTGACTTGCTGGGAGGTCACCGAGAACTTTGGCATTGTCCTGGCATTCTTTATAATTGTTCGGGCAGTGAGGTTAGCTGAGCTTAGAGAGGCATGTGATGTTGTGTGGTGTTTAGTGGCTGGGGGCAACACTGAATAGTTTATGGGTCCTCCGATACCTCTGTGAGGTGGGGACTTGTAAATTACTGTCCTCTTGTTTAATGATGAGACAAAGGCTCAACCTTGGATGCACTTTCTGAATAAGGGCAGCCCAGTTTTCAACACAGAACTTTCTGGCCCCAGAATAAGTGCTCTTCCCATTCCAACTTAGGATGTAGGATTTAGAGTGAGTAAGAAAGACCCTCTGGGGAGAGAGCTGCAGGGAATCAGAGCTAAAGGAATGGCTCCTGAGCTGCAGAAAATGTTTGTGATGACAGCTCTGGGGATTCAGGACTTCTTTAGTGATGCCACCCACAAGCAGGAGGAGAGAGACAATGCGCCCTTCCTGGGACTGGCATGGTGGGCACCGCACAGGGCTTAGGGGTGAGTCTGATAGTTTTGGTGTCAGGGCAGAACACAGAGTCAGGGACAAAGCTGGAGGTGCATGTTCGTGGTTGAGGCCTGAAGGGATGGTGTGGGGCGGTTCACTGAGGGAGCCCCACCTGGCCTGGTGCTCATGCAGGGTGCTGAGGCCTTTGGCATGTGCAACTTCCCCTTCCAGAGTTAGACTTGCTTTGGAAATAAGGTCTGAGGGCGCTCACTCATGTATTTAGTACTTACTATAAGCCAGTCAATTCTCAGGCCCAGAGTTCACGGTGGTGAGCAACCCAACAGGCTCAGTCCTTGTGGGTTTGCGGTCTGTGCAGTGAGGCAGACATTACATCGATAACTGCACCGTAGCATTCAACTCCAACCATAGTAGAAGCTCTGAAAGAAAAAGCACAGTGGAATGTGTAACAGGAGGAGCTAGTGCTGGACTCGGAGAGTCAGTCAGGCCGCCCTGTGAGAGCTTCTGCAGAGATCTGAGGGACTGAGCAAGGGTTAGCCAGGTACAGCCAGCATGGGAGGGGAGGAGGGCTGTTCAGACAGCGGAAATGCCCCGAGGCAGGAAGGAGCTTGAGAGAGAAACCCTCTGTGGCTGGAATGCCGGGAACCAGGAGTCGGGGCCTGTAGGTAGTCAGGAACAGGCCACGTGTGGATTTGTGGCACCTGTTCAAGATTTGACCTTTACCCTTGGAGGTGGGGTTTTACAAAGATCATTCTGGCTGCTGTGGGGAAAATGAGTTCTGTGTTAGAGAGTGTGCGAGGCAGAGTGATGGGCTGCCAAAGATTTCCACATCCTGGTCACCAGAAAGTGTGGTTCTTTCAGGTCACAGAGCAAAGGGGAGTTAAGATTACTGGTCAGCTGACTAATAATGGGAAGTGTATCTTGAATTGTCCAGGTGTACCCAGTGTCGTCGTCACTGGGGTCCTTAAAAGCAGAAGACGGAGATAGTGAGTCAGAGGGAGCGTGAGGCTGGAGGAAGAATCACAGATGTGCATCGTCGCTGACTGGAGATGGACTAAGGGAGCCATAAAGCAAGCAGTGCAAGTGGCTTTTAGAAGCTGGAAAAGCCAAGGAAATTGAGCCCCGCGACAGCCTCCAGACGGGAACCGAGCCCACCTTCATTTTAGCCTACGAGTCCCACATCAGACTGCAGCAGACCTGTGAGATGAGAAAGTGTGTTCTTTTAAGCCACTGAGTTGTGGTTGTTTGTTCTGGCAGCGACTGGAACTTACACAGATGGACATCTGAAGGGCTATGGGGAGGCTCTTAGGGAGCTATAGTGTGGTTCCAGGGTTGAGGAGAGCAGGGTGGGTCAACCCAGGTCAACAAAATTGCCAACTTGACACACTTGTAATATCAGATAACTGTAGGATTCAACCAGCCAGGATGTTTGGAAGATGGGAGCAGGTGGATTCTTGGACTGCTTCAGTCTCAGGAAAGCATCTGTCCCTGTTCTCTTGTAACACTGGTTGTGTTCTTTATATATTCACAATACTAAGGTCAGTCTTACTCTCCGATGAGTCAGCAAAACCATCAGATTCTTGGAAGAAATCAGAGCTTAGCAATTGAGCCATTTCCAGCGTAGTTTGGTGACTTTGTGAAATCTGGTATTATATTCTCAGCATTAAAATTTGGGGTGAAAAAAGGTTTAGGGATATTTTGGCCTTGTAATAGTAGGTTGTCGTTATTTACGATGCTGACTGTGTTTCAGCATCCACTTCCATAGGCCCCTGGAAATCAGGCATGACCATAGGTTTTATCCGTATTACAAAGAAATGTTTTTAATCTCATCCCTCCTTTCAGCAACTCTTGTCAGCACTTTTGTCCTTGGTAGCCGGTAAATCAGGTGGGAAGGGGAATCTTAGAGACATTGCCATTTCTTCCTTCAGCATCTGAGAGCACGTGCTCTGAGGTGTCAGGATTTGCTAGTATTTGGTTTTCACTGTTTCCTTCCACACCCAATTACAATAGGAAGGCACATCGCTGCCTTCTGACTGTCCCAGATGTTTAAGAATCATTTAGGAGCCCAGCAGCACATTTCCTTGCTGTTTGTATAGCTTGAGCTCTTTTAGTTGTGAATGGATTGCACCTTTTCCAGCCCACGTCACAGCCCACAAAAGTATCATTGCCTGAATGAAAGCCAACTTCCCTTGTATCATGAGTTCCCACCAGTAAACAGGACAGAAGGCTGTCGAGTTTGCCTACCCTGTTACATACTACATATACTGGAAGAATGGATTTGTGTTTTCTCTCTAGTAGTCTGTTCAATTTTAAAACTGAATACATGTTGAAACACTTAAGTGATAATAATCGCTCTGCTGTATCATGTGCCATTGATAAGATGTGACTTCCAACAGAGTAATTTAATAAAGAAATTTTGTCAATAGCTTGGTTTTTTTTTTTTTTTTTGGTCACAGCAGTTAAATTGGGCATTAAATTTGGATTGACAGGATCTCAGCAATATCAAGACTTTTACCCATTTTAGCTGGGTAATGCCTATTTAGCCTGGACTTCCTCTGTATCCTTATCAACAAAACAAGATTGATTTGGGTTCTGTTTGAAAATTGTGTGGAAGTTTATTTGTTTTTACACCATTATATTTGCTGAACACCAGCTTACATGAACTGATTAACACAGACCGAACATAGGTGTTATGGTAAGAAAATAAAGGATTTTTGTGAAAATCATTATTAACCTTAAATTTCAACTTTGCAAACTGCCTGTGAACAGATTTCTTCCTTTACCTTTTTTTCTCTGAAAATGCTTTGAACTACTTCCTAATTCTTAAGGACCGTGTTTTAAAGATGTTAAGGAACACAAAAAGGGACTCGGACCAAGCACCAGGAACCTGTGAAGTTACAGGATGAATAGACGTAAAGTTGCAAACAGTTGAGAATCATGGCCAGAAATCTGAGATTATTTGGAGAGTGTGATTCAATGAAAACTGAGAAAAAAGTAGTTTAGATGAATGGTTAAAATGTTACTGAGAGGTTAAATAAGATAAGGTCTGATAAAAGTGCATAGGACTAAGGAAAGCTCATTGGAGGTCCTGGCAAGTGCCTGTGTGTGTGCGTGTCTGTCTGTGACAGTGGCAGGAGATACTGGGCCAGAAGCTAGAAAACCCAAGTTAGAGTAGGTTTTAGCGTGCCTGGAAAGTGAAACAATAAACATAGTGTGTGTGTAGACACACAAAGTTATAGTTAATAAGCCACCAAAGGAGATGAGGTGGAATCCCCAAAGTACTCAACCGAAAAGAAGATTTAAAAAAAAAAGATGAAAAGGGGACAAAGAACAGTGGACAAATAAAAAGCAAATAGCAAGATGATAAACCTAAGCAATCAGTAATAATAAATAATGGTCCAAACATCCCAGTTAGAAGGCAGATTGTCAGATTGGATTAAAAAGCAAAACCCAACTGTAAATTGTCTACAGGAAACACACATTGAAAATGAAGGCACAAGTAGGATAAAACTAAATGGAAAGAGATATACAGTGCTAATTCTAGTTGAAAGAAAGAGTGTTATATTAATATTATAGTAGGTTTCAGTGATAATGGTATTATTAGTTATAAAGAATGCCGTATCCTAATGATAAAGAAGTCAGTTAATCAGTAACAACCTTAAACATTTATACACCCAATAATAAAGTATCAAGATAGATGAAACAAAACTAATAAAACTGTAAAGAGAAATAGACAAATCCCATTTTAGTTGGAGATTGTAATGCTCCTGTCTCAATAATTGATGGAATAAGTAGTTAGGAATGAGCAAGGGTATAGAAGACTTGAACAACTTTATCAACATCAGCTTCAGCTAATCAATATTTATAGACCGTTAATTACATCGAACAACTGTTGAATACACATTTCTTTTTTAACCACACAGAGAATATTTAGCAAGATAGATCATATTTCTGGGCCATGAAAGGAGTCTAAATACATTTAAAAGAATTTGGATCATAGGTATGCTGTCTGAGTGAAATGGAATTAAATTAGAATTCAGTAAACAAAAGATCTGTGAAATCCTTAAGTATTGGTAAGTAAATAGTAACTTCATGAAACCCATTGATTAAAGAAATAAGGGAAAATAGAATATGAAAACCTATCAAATTTGTGATATGCTGCTAAGCAGTACTCAGAGGGAAATTTATAGCTATACTGATGCTTATATATAAAAAAAAAAAAGTCACAAATCAGTGACCACAGCTTCCTCCTTAAGAAACGAGAAAAAGAACAGTAAATTAAACTAAAGCAGGAACAAAGACATAAAGTTTAGTGTGAAAATCACGAAAATGAAACAACAGAGAAAATGAAACCAGAAGAAAAAATAGAAATAGGGAATACAAATTACCAATATTGAGAATGAGAGAGAGAGTATCACTCCATATTCTACAAACATGGAAGGATAGTAAGAGGATGTTATGAACAACTGAATGTCAGTTAGTGTGATGACTAAGATAAAATTGACATGTTCTCTCTAAGACAGATTACCAAAGCATCCTCAAGAAATAAATCACACAAATAGCCCAATATTTACTAAAGAATTTAAATTTGTAGGAAAAAACCTACCCACAAAGAAAAGTGCAGGTGCAGTTGCTTGCCAGTGATTTTTATAAACATTTAAGGAAGACATAATACCAATTTTGTGCAGACTTTCAGAAAATCGAAGTTAAGGTAATACTTCACCACTCATTCTATGAAACTCATCATGCCAATACCAAAACCAGTCAAAGACGGTGTGAGACAACTACAGATCAACATCCCTAATGAACGTAGACGCAAACACTGTAAAATAAATTTTAGCAGTCAGACCTAATAATATATAAGGTTAATGCATCATTACCAAATGGTGTTTATCCCCCAGATTTAAGGTTTGTTTAATACTTGAAAAGCAATCAGTATGTATTAGTCACTCAGTCATGTCTGACTCTTTGCGACCCCATGGACTGTGGCCCACCATGCACCTCTGTGCGTGGGATTCTTAAGGACGAATATTGGAGTGGGTAGCCATTCTCTTCATCCTGACCCAGGGATCAAACCCAGGTCTCCTGCATTGCAGGCAGATTCTTTACCATCTGAGCTATCAGGGAAGCCCAGCAATCAGTATAACTCATCTGCAAACACACTAAAATGAAAAACCATATGATTATTTCAATGCATGCAGAAAACACATTTGACAAAATCCAGTATCTGTTCCTGATACAAGCTCTGATCTGCCTAGGACCAGAAGAAAACATGCTCAGCCTGAGAAGGGGTGTACAGAAAAGGTTAACTGAACAGGCCTGGGCTTCTCAAACTCTGCACATTCTCAGGAAAAAGCCTGTTTTCATGACTGTGCTTTGTTGAACTCCAAAGAACTGAACTCTTGGAACTGGTTATTGAATGAGTATAATTGCATGCTCGCAATCTTCAGCCATGCTTTCTCAGTGTCCAGATAGTTTACACTAGCAGTGTGATTCATGGTGAGTTCTGACCTTCTAGTGGTCTGGAACTTTGGCAGCTGAGGTCACCCATACAGGTGCTATGTGCTTGCATGACCAATACCCAGTAGAACCTCTGGACACCTAGACTCAGGTGAATGTCCCTGGTGGGCAGCACTTTGTTGCCCACATAGTTTCTGGGAGAAATAAGTGTCCTGTGTGACTCCAGTGGGAAGGGACACTTGAAAGCTTGAATATGGTTCCTCTGGACCTTACCCCATCCACTTTCCCCATGGTGTTTATTTCACTCTGTATACTTTTACTATAATAAACTAGCCATGAATTGACCAACTCTGAGTCCTGTGAATTCTTCTCTCATGAGCCTGAGGTTGACCTTGGGGATCCCTGACACAAGGGACAGCTATGAAATACCTGTATCTAATATCAAACTTAGTAGTCAAAGACTGAATGCTTCTCCACTAAGATCAGGAATGAGGAAATGATGCTTGTTGTTTATGTACCTTTATCCTGGAGATTATAACCAGTGCAATAAGGCAAGAAAAAGAAAGCACAGAAAAGAAAGAACAGGCATCTCTATGCTAGAAGAAAGAAGGAAAGCTGTCTGTATGATGCCTATATAGATAATGTGATGAAGTGTCCAGAAGTCTTCTAGAACTAATTAGTGAGTTTACTAAGGTTGCCAAATACAGAAACCATATCCCAAAATCAACGTATCTCTACATACTAGCAACATTCAATCAGAAATTGAAATTTCAAATGCAATTCCATTTATAGTAATATCAAAAATATGATATACCTAGTAATGAATCTTGCAGAAATGATGTGTGGGATCTGTATACCAAAAACTATAAAACATTATTGAAAACAGTTAAAGAAGATGTAAATAAGTCGAGATACACCTCATTCACAGGTTGGAATACTAAATATTGTTGAGATGCCCGTTCTTCCGGGTAGCTCACTCACTATTCAATCCCAATCAAACATGAACGGACCTAGACCTGCCAAGTCAGTTCTGAGAAAGAAGAGCAAATTTGGAAGGCTAACACTACCTGATTAAAAGATTAAGTATGAAACTGGCCTTCCTAAGTGGCACTAGTGGTAAAGAATCCACCTGCTAATGCAGGAGATGCCAGAGACGTGGGTTCGATCCCTGGATCAGGAAGATCCCGTGGAGGAGGAAATTGCACCCACTGCAGTATTCTTGCCTGGAGAATCCCATGGATAAAGGAGCCTGGTGGGCTACAGTTCAGAGAGTTGGAAATGACTGAGCAAGCAACATGACATGAACCTGCACTCAAAACCGTGTATTCAAGATAGAAAAAAATGTTTTAGAATAGAAGGTCTAGAAGTAGGCCCACAAACATATGAACAACTGATTTCTTAATAAAAGTGAAGTGAAGTGAAGTCACTCAGTTGTGTCCGACTCTTTATGACCCCATGGACTATAGCCTACCAGGCTTCTCCATTCATGGGATTTTCCAGGCAAGGGTACTGGAGTGGGTTACTATTTCCTTCTCCAGTCTTAATAAAAGACTCGGCAGAAAAGGACGGTTCACTCGCTGTTTTGTTAGAAGAAATGTTTAAACCCCTTGTGCCAGTCAAGTTCCCCCCATGCTGATGGATTGGTGTGCAGCCTTGGAGATGTCGCATCTGCCCCAGGACCTGCTCTGACCACTCCTGGGTGGGTACAGCCTAGAGCTGTGCACAGCCTTCCCACTCCCACTGTTGATTCCAGGTGGGCTCTTGTTGGCTTTCCCTGGTTCTCTATATTACTTTTTGACTAGTCTGCCATTCTGCTTATATCAGAGCTTCTTAAGTTCATGAAAAGATTGCTATTTTTTTTTTCCAATAATGCTCTTAAGCATGAGGTTCTCTACTCTCTGTTCATGTAGAGCCAGCCCCCTCAGGCAGATACATGAATCTCTGCACCCTAAGCGGGGATGTACATTTCCTCCCGTAAATAGAACCGCAGTGTCACTGCACCTGGAGCTGGGGATGGGAGCCCATTCTTCCCAGAGTGCCACCTTTCTCTGAGTGGGCACTAGGCAAGAGGGGAGATGACAGTCCCGGGTCTTCTTGACTTATACCTCCTGCCATGAAACCTCTACCCTGGGAGCAAACTAGGTGGAAGCCGTCAGGGCCCCACATTCACAGCTGGCTGGGTGTGGACAGGAGCTTCCACCACATGAGTGGGGACGGGGCAGAGGAAAGGAGGTGAGTCCTTGGTGTTGCCTGTCCGAAGTAGGCCTTCTGCACGTGGGGGCAGGCAGCCCCTTCCAGGGTGTCATAGCCCCAGACTAGCAGCTGGAGAGAGGAGGCCCCTGTCTTCCTGTCTGCAGGACAGGACAGGGGGAGCGGGGCTGATGGAGCAGACCTGGGCTCAAAGGCCAAAGCCTCCCTCGCCTGCTCTGAGACTTAGTAAATGTTCTTGAGCAAGTACTTCTTTTGCTGTATGCTCTTAGGACAATTTCCAGAGACTTTAAATGTTGTTGTTCTTTTAAGTAATGTCCACCAGTTAAAACACAGTTTTGTCATTCCAGAAGTTCTACCCTGTTTCGAAACTTTTGATATCCAATTTTGGACCTTCTTCCTATAAGAAGGGGGCTTCCCTGATGGCTCAGATGGTAGAGTCTGCCTGCAATGCAGGAGACCCAGGTTCAATCCCTGGGTTGGGAAGATTCCTTGGAGCAGGAAGTGGCAACCCACTCTAGTATTCTTACCTGGATAATCCCATGGACAGAGGAGGCTACAGTCCATGGGGTCTCAAAGAGTGGGATACAACTGAGCAACTAACACTTCACACTTTGACACATATAAGAAACAAGGAGGTTTTCATTACCAAATATTATTTCCTCAAGGTGTTACGTTTATACTAACCAAATGAATGATATTTATTTTAATAAACTCATCAGAGGGTTTTAGCCATCTGGAAGGTTATTTTTCTCCCACAGACCAGGATTTTGACTGTAAACTTATCTTCCACCTGGTCTTTCAATTTAGTGATCCAAACTGATTGCTCCCAGGCCCCATAAATATTCCCCTTGGAATAGCTAGTGTTGTAGACAGGCTCCGCCAGCATACGCATTGCACTTGAAAACTTACAAAATGTTTTTTTCCACTTTACATTAACCTTTTTTTTTTTCTCCTCAGCCTGATGTGCAGGAAGTATCGTTGTCTGCCAGTTAACCAGAGGATCAAGCAGAGTATGGCACCCTGGCTGACCAAACCCATCTCACTGACATTTATTGACTGCCTTCCCCCTGGTGGACAGCTTGCACACACTGCTTTCATTGCCTATAAATGTATTATAACCTCGATACATTACTTCCGTGGTTACAGTGTTTTAAAGGTATTCACTGAAGCTTGACTTAACTCTTTGAGCCTTATTATATAGACTAGCTATTCCTTTGGATGGTGAACTTGTTGAAAACCATACAGGTTTAGTCTTATGAACTGAGTCTGTAGAAAGAAAGTCATAGCATCTGTGAAGCAAAGCGGTCACATTCACCTTTTGCCCCAGAGGAGAGAAGAAACGGGGCTGGCATCTTAGGGAAGAACCGACTGCCGGAGGCCTCGGGTGTTTCTTGAATCTTCTTTGAACTGCCAGCTGTGTGATTCTAGACAATGTAATTATCTTTTCTCTATTTCTTTTTTTCCCCCCTGCTAACATTAATTGGAGAATAATGACTTCTCTTGTGCCTTGGGCTGTGGAGGAAAAAATGAGTGTAAATTGGTGAGGAATTGTATCAAATCTGAAGCGCTTTAGGGCAGTGGTACTGGCCTGTGGCCCTCACTTTACAGGGATGGTGGACAAGTCTGTCCCGGGCTCGCCCTCTCTGGCCTGCTGACACAGCTGCCTATGACAGGACGCTTGGAGAGGGCTCTGGGGAACTCGCCCCCGGGAACCTGGCTCACAGTGTGGTCCTGGGTTAGTGTGCCACACTGTAGCACGCCGGTTGCTTGTATGCTGTGTCCCATTCCTCTTCTCCTAGGTGGAATCATAAGCCAAATATTCATCTGAACTATTTCCTTGAAATTCATCCTTCCCAATTTTTCAAGTTATTTTCAGAAGAAAAACTAAATTTAGGTCACTCTTGCTTTCTGTGTCTCTCACAGTAAAATGGGCAAATTAGGTGAACAGTAAGTAATAAAGAAGGAAGAGTAGGCACTGTGAATAACTTACACAGCTGATCTTAAAATTTAAATCACTGCCTTTATTACTGGGTTAAAATATATAAGGTTAAATGTGTGTGCATGTGTGCTCAGTTGCTAAATCACGTCTGATTCTGCGACCTCATGGACTGCAGCCTGCCAGGCTCCTCTGTCCATGGGATTTTCCGGGTAAGAACACTGGAGTGGGTTGCCATTTCCTCCTCTGGGGGAATCTTCCCGACCCAGGGTTCAAGCCCGTGTCTCCTGGGTTGACAGGCGGATTCTTTGCCTGCTGAGCCACCAGCAGAGCCTAAATCTACAGCTCTTGCTCCGAGGGTGTTCTGGTTTTCATTTCTTAGCTGCCAATCCACTTTAAAACATGAAGGGAAGTTCCTGAACATAATTACAAAGCATTCCTTGGAGAGAGTTTCCAAACATGAATGAAAAAATAACAAGCCCCATCCCCTGTGCTCAGGTACTGTGCTTGGTACTCTGCAGGACTGAGCATCATGTCTCTCAGCAGCCTGGGAGGAAGGAGCTTCTTATCTCAGGTTTGTGAGAAGGAAACCATGGCCTCAACAAGGGCATAGAAGCTTATCCCAGGTGACACCACTTCTGGATACTTTAAAGAATGAAATTTAAAACAAGTATTTTCCAAATTACCCAAGTAGTACATATTCTTTGCCAAACAAACAAACAAAAAAAATCAGAGATACAGGAAATTAAAGTTTTGACAAATCACTGTTAACCATTTAACTTTGTGTGTGTGTATATGATGAAACACACATGCATATACATATACACAGAGCAAAGTCTGAATGATACACAGTTAAGTGAATAGTATTGATTAACCATGGAGAAAGAAGGTGAGAGCTACCAGGAAGGGAAGTGATGGTCAGAGAAGTCTTGAGCTTTATCTTGAATGTTCTGCTTTTTTGCCAGGAGAATATTTTCATATATTACCTGTGCAAATTTGGTAATTTTAAAACCCTTAGAGAATGAGAACAGAAAGCTACATTCTAGGTAAAGTTGATCATGACTCACCTCTTTCCCTCTTTTCTGGTGACCTCTTCATCACATTCTCCACCCAAAAATGTTTAAAACTTTCAAAAATAATAACAAGTACATGATATAGACAAGATTATAAAGTCATTGGTAAGGAAATATAAGGCAGTGTTCCACTGTGTGGAAGTGCACAGACCCTGGGTTTGCATGGCCTGTGTTTGAACCCTGGCTTCCCTCTTGTGACCTCCTCATTTATAAATGTGGGGTAATAATAGTGTCTATGTCATAGGGCTGTTGTGAGTATTACTTGTGCAGTACTGGGGACAGCATTTGGCACCTAATAGAGTCCATCCTATAGGAGATCATTGGAAGGACTGACGCTGAAGCTGAAACTCCAATACTTTGGCCACCTGATGCGAAGAGCTGACTCATTTGAAAAAACTGATGCTGGGAAAGATTGAGGGCAGGAGGAGAAGGGGATGACAGAGGATGAGATGGTTGGATGGGATCACTGACTCAATGGGCATGAGTTTGGGTAAACTCCGGGAGCTGGTGATAGGGAGCCCTGGCGTGCTACAGTCCATGGGGTTGCAAAGAGTCGGACACGACTGAGCAACTGAACTGAGCTGAACTGAACTGAAGAGTCATATAAGGGTTACTATTATTACTATTATTATCCTAAAATTCAGGGAAAAAGCCATGTTAAATGTATATCCATTTGAACTTTTCTGTGTGTATACATATACACATGTGCATATATAGACATAATACATATTTATGTGGGTAAAGATAGATGTATATTTTTATTAAAATTGGATCATACTGTTTCCATTTATTATAGCCTCCTTTGTACTCTCAATACCATATAGTAAAAACATCTTTCCATGCCACTAAATGAAATATGACTACTTAATTAATTGCTTGTTTTAAAGATATGCTATACAGTTTGCAAGATCTTAGTTCCCTAGCCAGGGATTGAACTGGGCCCTGGCAGTGAAAACTCTTCAGTCTCAGCCAGGGAGTTCCTGAAATACACATGTTTAAAACAAAAATCGAATGTGTCAGTATTTGGTCTTAACTAGTTGTGGCAGCGTGGGTCCTTCAGCCAAATACGTGAACACAGGCTAAGACACGTTTCTCGGCGCTACACTGAGGAGCTGCAGCACTTCTCGGTGCTGACGCAGCTTTTTACTTAAGCGGTTGCATGGACGTGGATGCATCCACCCAAGTGTCTGATTATTTGTCCGATTTATTAAGCAATGATAGTCAATGCATTTTTTTATATAAACACCAAGAGCTTTTTTAAACAGACCATGGACCGTTTAAACGTAAAATTAAAATTCGTGGTTTACTTCATAATCCCATCCTGAATCAAGGCTTCCCAGGTGGTGCAGTGATAAAGAACCCGCCTGCCAATGCGGGAGACAGGAGAGATTTGGGTTTGATGCCTTGGTGGGGAAGATTCCCTGGAGAAGGAAGCAGCAACCCACTCCAGCATTCTCGCCTGGGAAATCTAACAGACAGAGGAGCCTGGTGGGCTCCAGTCCTGGGGTCGCAAAAAAAATTCAGACGTGACTTAGAGAGGGAGCACATGCAAACTGAAGCTTTCCTTTTTTTTTTTTCCTAAACAGCCCACTCTGGGAACTTCTCTTATAAGCAGTTAATCCAAAACCTCCAAACTGTTTCTCCAGCAGTTGCTGCTAAAAACTGGAACTTTATGTTCCATGTCCGATGTGCAAATGTGATATTCATCGTTTTAAATGTTTATCTTCAGAGCCAATATGTGAGACAGTATGCTGTTTTTCAGCATCGCAGTTGACATACAGCTCTTTGTGAGAAGAAAAATGATGTGTAGAAACTTCCTTGTGTCCACTGGCTAAGACTCAGTGTTCCTAATGCAGGGGGCTGATGTTCAGTCCTTGGTTAGGGAACGGGATCCCACATGCCACAACCAAGACACAGTGTGGATGCTAAGTCACTTCAGTCGTGTCTGACCTTTGGTGACCCTATGGACCATGGCCTGCTGGGCTCCTCTGTCCATGGGATTCTCCAGGCAAGAATACTGGAGTGGATTGCTATTTCCTCCTCCAGGGAATCTTCCCAACCCAGGAATCAAACTTGCGTTTTTTTAAGTCTCCAGCATTGGCAGGTGGATTCTTTACCACTAGCGCCCCTTGGACCTGCAGCCAAGTAAATATATTAAATAAATAAGTAAAAATTAAAAAAAAAAAAAAGTGATGTGTAAACAGCGCATTGGTTACTAAGAAAACAATCTCTTCCTCTCACTGTTTCTGGCACTTCAGGAGATGTTTCACAAAGCGGAAGAATTCTTATCCAAGACGACAGACAGCGAGGTGGATGAGATGGACACGTCAGACACACAGTGGGGCTGGTTTTACTTGGCGGAGTGCGGCAAGTGGCACATGTTTCAGGTAGCGCCCCTCGGGGTGGGGGGGCGGTGGGAGTTAAACACATGGAGCATCGTCATGCTCACGTGAAAAATCAATAGAAGCTGCACCCGCCAGAAACCAAACCTTAGAGAAGTCAGAGAGCGGAACTAAAAGAAAAATCAAACTCTTCTGGCTCCTCTCCCCTTCCCTAGGTTTTCACAGTGTTTTCTTAGAAGGTATGGTGTATGTTTTCTGTCTGTCTGGAGGGCGAGTGTGTCTGCAGGGTAAGCGTGTCTGCGGGGTGTGTGGTCTGGGCATGCATGCACAAGGCCAGGCCTGGTTTGGTGGACAAGTGGTCGGGGAAGAGACCAAGCCTGCATGAAGCGCCTCTGTGCTCCCAGTCTCAGGTCAGAGGGTGTAGATATGTGTTCTCCTCCAGCCTCATAGCAGCCCGAAAGCAGATGCTAACACTCTGTCTTACAGCCAAAGACTGGGAAGCTCAGGAAAGTTAATGTAATTGGTCCCACGTCACACAGCTAATTAACAGTTAAGCTGAGACACGAGCCCACACTCAAAATTTTGTTTGTGGTCTTTTTTCTTTTTTCACTTATGAGGCTACTTAAAAGATTTGATTTGAGCCACTTAAGAGGTGTCATTTTGGCAATAATCTGAAAACATTGCAATACTTTGAAAAAAGGCCTTATAACCAGTTGTTAAAGTTTTTTGTCTTTTTTTTTTTGTGCTGAAAATCCTTAAGCCATTGCCCACATGTTGTCTTAGCCAATTCTCCCCGTGTGTTGGTAACTAGGACAGGTCAGCAAGTTTCCTCTGTCCCTCCATTCTCTGTCTTGTCCCCCAGTACCTGCCTCTGTGGCCAAGCCGTTTCTGTGAACAGCTGGTAAATGAACTTTCTGGTTTGTCTTAAAGCCGGACACCAACATTCAGTGTTCAGTTAGCAGTGAAGATATCGAAAAAAGCTTCAAAGCAAACCCTTGTGGCTCCATTTCTTTTACCACGTCCAAATTCAGCTACAAGATAGACTTTGCAGGTATGTTTTTTTCCCCTCATAGTTGTGTGTTCTTAGTGTGTTGATATGGTGAAATCTACAGTTCTACAGATCAGGATTAGTTGATATATTAATATTTGCAAACAGCAAAGTAAACCCTTTTGGTAACACATAAAGATGCCTCTACAAAAATTCAACCTTTAAAATCTTTTGGATTTGCCTTTTGTAAAGGTGTGTTTATATGCTTATAGATACTGATGTATATGGAGAGTTTCGTATATCTTGAGTTCATATAATGCTTCTCACCTAAGGAACACAGAACACCTCTAAGCCATTGTTTCGCTCCTCGTCCTTTCAGTCTCTTGAAATAGGTAGGAGCCATCAGGTGATTTCAGGATCCACCAGAGCAGTTATATGACAAAGTCCTAGGTAGTCGGTTCTAGTTTTAAGACCAAAGTTCAGCCAAATGACCCATCTCTTGGCATCTTTCCTAGAAAACCACTCTTCAGGGACATTGCCTTCAGCCAGTTTCTGATTTCTGGCTCTCTCATGGGTTAGCCAGCTAATCTGGAAATCAGCCCCACTTGGATTTCATCCATGATGAAATTAATCCGAGATGAACATTGATCTGTGATGAAATCTAAGGGCATGCTTATAGGGACCCCATGACAAACCTCTTGCATTCACACTGCTGTCTCCAGTTGCCAGCCTCAGCTATTCACTGCTCAGAGGCAAACAGGACCCAGAGGGAGGGCAGCTTTCTTAACAAAAGTGCCTTTGCACTGCCACACAGCTCTGTCTTCCAAGTCAGGTGTTCTTTCCTGGTTCTGAGAGTAGAGTCCTTATGACAGCGAGTGCTGACTGTGGTGGGGTCGGGGGGCTGCTGAAACCCAGGAGACCCCCTTGGAGGAATCAAGGCCCAGACATACCGAAGGGGGTTAAACTGTCCACTAAGACATCGCTGCAGCCAAGTCTCCGATGACTGCTGTGCCCTAGAGTTGTTTGTTTTTAATCAAGAGTTAGCAGCATTAGATTCTTACACCTGACTGAGCCTAGCATTTTTTACAATATTAGGCACACTGGCTGCCCGTAAGGTGCCTGACACTTGTCTTAGGCGGAAGGTGCTGGTGGACACTGGAGGCTGGCACACACCTGTCAGTGTTGAAGCCACAGTGAGAGGCGGCGTGACGTGCAGACCTCAAGCTTCACGTGGAGGGCAGAGCTCGTCAAAGCGTTTGGTCGGTGGTCCAACAAGCCATGTGTCTTTGAAAGAATACTTTCCAGTGAACTGTATTTGGAGGAACATTTCTCTTGGACAGTGCAGTTTATTTAAAAAAAAAACAAACGTCAAAGAACAGGAGTCACATAAACACCAGTTCCCACCCCTCTATATAATGACACTGTTTCGAAAGTATAGGTGTTAGTATTTCCCAGGTACATTGGCAAAATTAGCCCCCATCGTTTTGTCACAAGCCAGCTCAGCTTCTGTTTATAAAAAAAAACTGTGAGAAGTAAACTCAAAACAAGCTGGTATAAGACGAAGGCATCACAGGGTTAACTCCATGTGCTGGGACGACCTTGCTTTCTTGCCGCCTCATGGTTGTGCCAGCGTGTACAGAGCCTAGGAGTATACAGGAGGGGTAAACACACTTCTCACAGCATCAGCCCGGCCAGGTGAACCACCTCATCTTGGGAGTGGAATGACATCAGTTAGACAAGATGGTAAAATGACCAGAATTCCCTTGGTAAGACTTAGCACCTACCTCAGTGGGGATGTTGAGGTGGACTTGGCAAATACTGCCATGGCTGAGAAAGAGAGGAAAGAAGAAAGTGATACATCAGTCAGTTCATTAGCCTCTTATCACTAGCATCTCTCCTGTAAGTCTGTGTTGAGTCTAGCTAGGTTTTCCATTTTTTTGGTTTAGGTGTACAATTTAAAGAGAAGGCAAGAAATGTACAAATTTTTGAAACTGTGAGTTGTGCAAGTTTTATCATGGTAATGTATCTTTTTTGTTGTTGTTATTTCCAAAATTTTTGGAACAATCCAAGTAAAGATTTAGGAAGCCAGTCAGAAAATTCAGTCCTTTCTTTCTCGTCCTAGTACTTTTAATTTTCCAAAGTTGAGAACTCCTCTCTGTTCATGTGTTTAACTCAAGCATGATACGAAAAGGAATAGACCCTACATACCGAGCCACGTGTGAGGCTGGCTTCCTCCTGTGTGAGCCTAGATCAAGCAGGGAAGCTGATAACCAGACGTGTGGTTAGGTATCCCTAACAGCGCTGTGCTGGGCGGCTGCTCCTGAAACCCCGCGGTCCTTGTGTGGCTGCAAAGCTTTGTGACTTCACGTCGCCCAGTGTATTCCCGTGACTCACCTCTTTGTCTCTGTGCACAGAAATGAAGCAGATGAACCTCACCACGGGAAAGCAGCGCTTAATAAAAAGAGCCCCCTTTTCCATCAGTGCTTTCAGGTATCATGGGGGGAATGGGGTGGAAAGAGAGTGGGCTCTCTCTCTCTCCTCTTCGTTAATATTTGGCAGAGGAATAAGTAGACGGAAAATGTTTTGGTGGGTTATATAATGATCTTAATATTAATCTTTACTGAATTTCACATTTGTTGGTGCACGAGCTGTACTGTTATTTTTGACTGGCATTTCCTTTCCTGTCGTCCTTTTCATTTCCCTTAGATAGATGTATTTTTCAATTCTTTAGAGCAGTTTGCGTGGTAGTTTAAAAAATGCCTGATGGTCTCTACTATAAATCCTTAAAATAACCTACTGAGGTAAGTTCAGTTTAGCTTGGAAAGACTCTCCTGGAACCATCCAATTATTTGGGTTGTAAATCCTAAGTAATTACCCACTTTGTCTTCTCCTCCACTGAACCCCATTGGGCAACTCGTGTAGGTAATTTCGGATCTTCAGTGACCAAAGGGGGCCTGGGAAAACAGGAGTGCATGGGATGATGGCCTGGCCACCTGCTGTCCGTATCCTGAAAAGCTATAAATGCCTTGTTGTTGTTTAGTCACCACGTCATGTCCAACTCTGCGACCCCGTGGGTTGTAGCCCCACTAGGCTCTTCTGTCCATGGGGATTCTCCAGGCAAGAATACTGCAGTGGGTTGCCATTTCCTCCTTCAGGGGATCTTCCTGACCCAGGAATCGAACCCACATCTCCTGCATTGGCAGGGAGATTCTTTACCACTGAGCCACCAGGGAAGCCTTGCTATAAATGCCACAAGAGAAACAAGAGAATTAATAGGTGTCATTCACATGAATGAAGTTGAAGCTAAAAACTTTAGGGCATGTCTCCTATTATTGGGAATGATTCCTCAATCGAGTATTGAGATTCCTACTGTTCAAAGAATTTAAAATGAAACAAACATAAATCCATGGCTAATTCATTTCAATGTATAATAAAAACTACTGTAATGATGTAAAGTAATTAGCCTCCAACTAATAAAAAAATAAAAAGTAAAAAAATAAAAAAATAAAAATAACGCTCAGAAAAAAAAAAAAATAAATAAAATGAAACAAACAAACAATGCTATTTAATAGCATGTGAATTGTAGGAGATGCCCATTTTCTTCTTCCAAGGAGATGTTTTGAAAGGATTAAAGAAAAAAGTTTTGAAGTTTCTATCAGTTTGCTTCTTGGGACTTTTGGCATATATTTTAGGATCATGATTTATAAGTTATGCAAGTACTTGTATAATGAATGCTCTAGGAAGGGAGAAAACTTTACTTCCTTACCAGCTACTTCATATCCTCATTCTTAAGTACAAGGAATTTAAGAAAGGAATTGCTTATCTTCAAAGGGTATGTAATCTGAGAGAATGAGACATAATAATGCAAAATGTTATAGTAATTGTGTGTCACTGTATCTGGTGTACTTTTGTCGGGAGAGGCATGTAATGCAAGGCACTTTGTTCTCACAGACCGTAGAAGCCATAGCACAAAGACAGGAGAAGGAGAGGAATAACCAGAATAGAGCCCGAGACGCAGGGTAATAAAAGGAGGAGTGGTTAGGCAGGGTACAGAAGAGCATTGACGACAAGGAGGTGTTGATTCAGAAATGCTTATTTATTTATTGCAGGAATACATCGAGTGCTTATGACATGCAAAGTGAATAACACATTCCTGTTGGCAAGGAATTTGCAATTAACCAGAGCTGTAAATATTCAACAAATAAGCAAACAAAAACGTTTTACATAGCTGAAAGATACTTCTGTTGTTGCTTAGTCGCCAAGTTGTGCCTTACTCTTTGCAGTCCCGTGGACTGTAGCCCACCAGGCTCCTCTGTCCATGGGATTCTCCAGGCAAGAATACTGCAGTGGGTTGCCATCTCCTTCTCCAAGGGATCTTCCCGACCCAGGAATCGAACCCAGGTCTCCTGCATTGCAGGCAGATACTTTACCACTGAGCCACCTAGGAAGCCAAAAAGATACTTCAGGCAAAGTGAAAAAAACAAAAAACAAAGAAAACCTGGGAAAGGTATTGTTATGTGGTATCACAGTCTCTGTAGTATATGAAGTACTTTGAAGAATCTCTAAGTAGAAAACCAATAGCCCCTTAGAAGAATGAAAAGAATTTATGCAGTTCATGCAGCCTCACTTATAAAAAAGAGAAATACAAATTATACCAGCTTATTTCTTACTATCAGATTGACAGAAATTCCAGAGTCTGATAACACGCCTCTTTGGAGAGGTTGTGGACAAGTAGGCATTCTCTATATTTCTGCTTGGAATGTCAATGACTGTAGCCTTCGAGGAGGGCCTCTGGGGAGTTTCTGTTAAAGTTAGCAATAAATATATTCTTTGACCCAGAAATGCCATTCCAAAAATGTTATCTTAAAATTTGACAAGTGGCCATGTACAATGACAAGTGGATGGACTTGTTCTCTGTAGCATCCTTAATGGCAGCAAAGAGTTGGAAAAAAGCTAAATGTCACCCATAGGGAACTTGTGATCAATAGGAGGGGGTGTGTCCATGTACTGGGGTACCCTGCATCAGTCCAGTAGAATGCACACCTTCATCCTCCAGTGTCCAGAGTGTCTGCCCTGTGCCAGGCTGTGTGCCAGGGAGTTCTCTCCCTGTTACAGAAGGGTCTCTGAGAACATAGTGAAAAAAATAGAGCAACTACAAAAGACACAGGAATGTGTTACCATTCCTGTGTGCAAAACAAACAAAAAAACCCCATAGGTTTGTGTTAACCTAAAGTTCTAGAATACCCAAGAGACTAAAAGCAGTGATTACTTGGTGTGGAGGCAAGAGGTGAGAACTAGACCAAGGACTGGAGAGGAAGGGAAACCATCCACCGTTCACTTTCATTTACTTTTGTTGTTCAGTTGCTGAGTCATGTCCGACTCTTTGTGACACCATGGACCGCAGCACGCCAGGCTTTCCTGTCCTTCACTATCTCCCTGAGTTTGCTCAAACTCTTGTCCTCATCTTTAAATCATGATTGTGTGATGTCCCCAAAGGTAAAATTAGTTAAAAAAATAAAAAAATAAGTTAAAGATAGGCTAGAAGTTGCTACATTTCTCCCACAACCTCCAGTCACCAGACAGGATTCTTGTATCAGTTATAGCCTTCTGCCGTCAAGCTCCCAAAGGTCATTTTCTTTTTCTGTGTTCATATCCAGTGGCTTAAACATGGTAGATGACTCTACCGACCTCTGCTTAGGGTGAATTAATTAGGACCGTGCAGGGGCCTAGTAGACAATAAAGAGAGAAGGGTTTAGATTTGAGTTAATAATAGATCTTAGAGGACATTGAACATGTGGTTGAGGGTTCTGGATGGTATTTAACAGACACCATAAATCCGATAAAGGAGTTTTATTTTAATCAAGAAGTTGATTTTCTTCTTGGAAATTACTTTTCTTCACCTAAAGTCTTCCTACATTTAAGAGAAACTGGCAAATTCAGGAAAACAAGATTGAAATAAGATCGTTTTTGAAGTTTCCCATCAGATTTCTCAAAACAGCCCCTAAAAAAGTTGCACACAAGCCAATATTCAGTAAATGTTTTAAAATAAACCAAGAACGACACTTTATTGCTTTTGTCACATGATAATTCATCTTGGCAGAAAATGTCTGAGTCTTTGACAGTGATTATATTCGGCTTCTAAAACGTCGTTTTGTCTTTTCTGCCCCAAGTTACATCTGTGAAAACGAGGCCATCCCCATGCCACAGCACTGGGAGAATGTGAACACCGAGCTGCCCTACCAGGTAAGGGCAGCACCCAGTGCCCGCCCGCCCGCGGGGGAGGTGGGCCAGGACCCCGGTAACACGGTACCACCTTCTCTTTCCAGCTTATTCCTCTGCACCCTCAGACACACGAATACAATGAAGTCGCTAGTCTCTTTGGGAAAACAATGGACCGCAACAGAATTAAAAGGATTCAGAGAATTCAAAACCTAGACTTGTGGGAGTTCTTCTGCAGGTGAGACCGTTTCCACTCAGAGCCCTGCTCCTTGGCCCCTGAGACTTTCTGCAGCCTCGGGACGGCGAAGCACAAATGCTCCATGGTGTTCACCACCAGCGGCGCCCCGTGCTCTTCTCCGTGTATTTTGACCTGCTTTCCCAGCCTCTTCCTCATCCCTGGGGAGAGCTGCTCTGTAAGCCACCAGCTTCCTGTACAGCGGGGGTCCCCAGCCTCTTCAGTCTAATGCCTGACCCCCTGAGGTGGAGCTGATACAATAATAATGGAAATAAAGTGCACAATACATGTCCTTCCCTTGAGTCATCCCGAAACCATCCCCCCATCCCTGGTACGTGGAAGGATCGTCTTCCAGGAAACCGGTCCCTGATGCCTAAAAGGTTGGGGACAGCCGTTCTTATCCACAGTTAGATGTTTTTTACTACCTTCATTTGTATACTTCTACAATGCACATTATTACTTTGAGTAATAGGTCTCTTTTTGCATCATTCTTTTTTACAGACAGCATTATTTTTCAAGAGTTATTTGTGTTAATACATGTAGACCTATTTCATTATTTTCATATTCATATATAAATATATAATTATTTGTTCAGTTTTTCCTCTTGAGAGGATTTTAGGCCATTTTCATCATGTTTGTTTTTTTGCTTTTACAGTAAGTCCTACATGGAATATCTTTGTATGTTTTGGAAGAGGTTTGTCCACTGGGAAGAGGGTTGAACTGAATGGTTTTATGTCCCTTCCAGCCTGAAGATTCAAAATTCAGTGCAGTTCAACCAACATGTCCCACTCTGGGGATAAAATGATTAAGGCATAGTCCTTGCTCAAGGAATTTCACTATTTAAAGACTCTGAGAACTCTGTTATTTATTGTCTGTAGTGTCATTTTTATGTATCGGTAAAGCTTGACTGGTTTAAGCAGTCAGTCATTTTACTGTGCTGGGACATCATCATCTGGGAGATCTATAGTTTTTTTTTTTTTTTAATTTTTAAAATTAAAATATTCAATTGAAGGATAGTTGATTTATATTGTAGTTTTGGGTATAATTTTTACCCTTGTCTGTTAACTAGTAATTTTTGATGAACCAGTTTAGATGTCCCAAGAGCATCTGAGATGATCTTTTTTCGAGAGCTATTGTATGTCCATTTATGGTAGACGTTAAATTACCGTTTTCTGTTTCACCCTTTCTGCGCGCTTCACTCCTTGAGGAATCAATGATGCCACTTACAGTAATTTCTGTGTGTTTTGTGTCTGTGTGTTGTGCTTTTAGGAAAAAGGCTCAACTCAAGAAAAAGAGAGGCGTGCCTCAGATTAATGAACAAATGCTGTTCCATGGCACCAGCAGTGAGTTCGTGGAGGCAATTTGCATTCATAACTTTGACTGGAGAATCAATGGCATCCACGGTGCTGTCTTTGGAAAAGGTAATCATCCGAACCTAGTTTGAGTGCTAGGAGATAGTCTTCTCTTTGAGAGAGGATTGATGATGATTCAGGGGCTCAAGAGGCATTAAGTTAAATGTTAGAGGCAAAAGTTAAGTGCTAGGCTCCTGGCGCACCCTCAAGAGTTTCTGAGCTACCAGAAAGCCACTTCCTGCTTGTGCAAGATGGAAGGAAGACTTTTCACATCTCTCCGAGGTCAGATAACTACCCCCCACCGCCGCCCCCAAGGCCCAGCCATTCGGATGGGGCATCATGTCTAGATTTGCTCATTTTTGCATTATGACATTTAGTTTCCACATATAAGTCCTTTCCATGGATAAACCTGTATATCAAACTGTTTTATGTCAAGTACACAGAGCACTAAAAAATAAATCAGTTAATGTATACATGGTACATAGGTCTATTTTTTGTTTGTGTTTTTAGAAAATGATAGCTTGGAATGTTGATGAGCATTAAATAATGGGGGAAATCCTCCCCTTTTTTCTAATGTTGTGGAAGTCTGAGTTCTTTAGTCTTTGCTCACTAGACAAGCATGTTAAGGAAAGAGGGGAGGGGAAAAGGTAAGAGGTGGACTTTAATTTGGGCTTCCCCGGTGACTCAGTGGTAAAGAATCCGGCTGCATTGCAGGAGACATAGGCTTGATCCCTGGTCAGAAAGATCCCCTGGAGGAGCGCATGGCTACCCACTCTAGTATTCTTGGCTGAAGAATCCCATGGACAGAGGAGCCTGGCAGGCTGTAGTCCACTAGGTTGCAAAGAGTCGATATGACTGAAGCGACTTAGCGTGTATGCAGACATTGCTTGGTCCTTATTTTGTACCTCCCCTCCAGCAAGAGAGGCCTTTCCCTGAAAAGGCCATCCCCTTTATTTAACCATGTAAGAGGATCAGAAAGGTGTTATATAAATCCCATTGGATTTGGGTAATACGGGACTTTGCAATTCATTTCTAAAGTGTTTTGGGTAAATATTCCCTTACTGAGGGCAGCCTCCTAGACCTACCAGTTTGGAAGAGTCAGATGCTTCACAGAGATTCCCGTTTAGCCAGTGGACCCATGAGCTTGTCTTTCTGGAACGTTCGGGTATGAGCTGCATCACATTCTCTCCAGAAATCTTTTCCTGGATGTGGGGTTCTGTCATCTCCAAAAATATTACTGAACTGTCACCTTGTAAAATAGAAACGTGGTTTCTTGGGGTTTGAAATCATTTGTGCAGACCCGTGGTTTCACTGTGCTCCCCAGTGATGGGTGCTTAGATAGGTGGGTAGCAGGTGGGGAAAGGGTAGAAGGAAATAGAGGAGGGAGGGAGGTCCCAGCATTTATGAGGCAGGTCGTGCCACTTGTAATCACAGAAGCCACTTGTGTCTGTCTTACATATTGGATTTATTTATAAGATTTTTTTTTTTTTGGCCACACCACATGGCATGTGGGATTTTGGTTCCCCAACCATGGATCCAACCCAGGCCCCCTGCCTTGGATGCTTGGACTCTTAACCACTGGATTGCCAGGGGAGTCCCTGTAATATTCTTTTTGAATACCACTACGCAAGTCTAGTAGCTGCATTTTGGTGGGAATGGGGATGGTTTTGGTGGTGGGGACTGGTCTGTACTAACACACATACCCCAGTGGCCGCCTGCATTGCAGCTGTCCACAACAGACAGATTTCTGCTCTTTTCTTTAACACCTACAGTTGAGGGAATTCCATATCTATTTTGGCTATATGATTCTATGTGTCTATCCCCCTAGCCATCACAGTATTTTCGCTTGTGTTTCATACATTCCCTTGGAGTAACCTTGGCTCTCCGGGGCCCTTTTTGTCTAAGGAACCTATTTTGCTCGAGACGCTGCTTACTCCAGCCGCTTCTGCCAAGATGACGTAAAGCACGGCAACACATTCCAGATCCACGGGGTCAGCCTGCAACAGCGGCATCTGTTCCGAGCACACAAATCCATGTTTCTCGCCCGAGTGCTGATTGGAGACTACATAAACGGAGACTCCAGATACATGCGCCCTCCCTCCAAAGACGGCAGCTATGTAAACTTGTATGACAGCTGCGTGGATGACACCTGGAATCCCAGGGTCTTTGTGGTGTTCGACGCCAACCAGATCTACCCCGAGTACCTAATAGACTTTCACTGATTTCACATCCAAGTCTCCGTGGCTGAGGGAGCTATATTCTTTTTCGCAGGGAAGTCTGCTCACTGATCATCTAGCCCCTCAGTGTTAGTGCTCTGATCCTTTTGAAGCAGAAAGAGGCCTCTCTATAAAAAGACATACTGACTCTATGGTTGGTTTGTTGTCCTGTTTCCGTTTGTCACTGATGTTCTGTTAAAGCGCAATATCATTGCTATTTAAGGGCGGTGCTCAGAATGGAATCGTCTGAGTCACTCCATCTTTAAAGTTTACATGTGTGTCTTCAGGGTGAATGTTTTCAGTTCAAGTAGACTTATTCCTATATGTGATCAAAAAATAAAAATGTAGACATAAAAGTGTCCCTTCAGAGGAACTGAGCCTTTGTAAACAAATTCTGAAATGATCATCCACTGATCTATGTGTTACTTTGTTAGTCTTTGGGAGGGTGGGAGGCAGTTTAAAATCTTGAAGCAGCCTGAGTAACTTGAGAGAAATCAGACCCAAAAGAATCATTGGCAGTGCTGCCAAGCAGGCCAGAAGGAGAGGATCAAGTCAGGGTACCCTCTCCTGATGCCTTTGGGAGAGGCAAAGAGTCACCGCAGGCTGTGACTGGCCTTGTTCACCTCTTCTGCCTCCTACAGCCCAACTGACTGCAGTCAGCAGGCACCTCATCCCCCAGAGCTCCCCAATTCTTGTACCCAGACTCACTGCACAAACTATTTATTGCATCTTCAAAAGGAAATTTTACTCTTTACAACACATGTTCTTGTTGTTCAGTCGCTCAGTCATGTCCAACTCTTTGCGACCCCATGAACTGCAGGACGCCAGGCTTCCCTGTCCTTCACTGTCTCCCAGAATTTGCTCAAACTCATGTCCATTGAGTCAGTGATGCCATCCAACCATCTCATCCTCTGTTTCCCCCTTCTGCCCTCAATTTCTCTCAGCATCAGGGTCTTTTCCAATGAATGGGCTCTTCACATCAGGTGTTCAAAGTATTGGAGCTTCAGCATCAGTCCTTCCAATGAATATGCAGGGTTGATTTCCTTTAGGATTGATTGGCTTGATCTTGCTGTCCAAGGGACCCTCAAGAGTCTTCTCTAGCACTAAGCACATACTTTCCCTTTGTTTTGGAGCCTTACAGTGATTACTTCTAAGAGATCTTTAATCTGATCCTTCCTCCACCAAATGCACAGTTATTCAGCTATGATATATAAAACCCACACTTCTAAATTCCCCAGTTTGAATCATTGCAGAAAGCCTGGGATGCTTGCAACAAATCTGATCGGTTCTTTTGAGTAGCAGTAGACAATCTGCTCACTGTCTTGAAAACTTAGGTACAATTCATAATCATGCTCAGTGAAGTTTGTTTACCTGCTCCATCTGCCTGGCTGTTCTATTTTAAGGAGGAATAAGTGATGTTGGAAGAACTTCCTGCCCCTAAGGCTATTCTAGCAGAGACAGGACAGCAACTTGGCAGAGATGTTACATAGGAGTTCAGGTGTTGGGTGGAGGATTTGGTCATATGATTGTTAAAAGAGTTTTTCCAGCCTTGATTTTCTGTGGTTATACCTGGGGGGCAGGGGGAAAGAACACTGGTATCTTTTTTTTTTTTTTTTTTAGAGTTTTACCAACTCCTAGATTGATTTATTTATTTTCTGTCTGTACTTCGAGGGCACGTGGAATCTTAGTTCTTGGACTAGGGATTGAAGCCACACCCCCCTGCCTTAGAAGAGCACAGTCTTGCCACCACACCACCAGAGAAATCCCCAGAATACTGATATCTTTCCTGGAAAACCTTTTTCGAACTCACTTTGGTACTAAATTCTATCTCCATTGCTGCTGCTGCTGCTGCTGCTAAGTCGCCTCAGTCGTGTCCGACTCTGTGCACGCATAGACAGAAGCCCACCAGGCTCCTTTGTCCCTGGGATTCTCCAGGCAAGAACACTGGAGTGGGTTGCCATTTCCTTCTCTAATGCATGAAAGTGAAAAGTGAAAGTGAAGTCGCTCAGTCGTGTCTGACTCTTAGTGACCCCGTGAACTGCAGCCTACCAGGCTCCTCCGTCCATGGGATTTTCCAGGCAAGAGTACTGGAGTGGGTTGCCATTGCCTTCTCCGTCCATCTCCATTACCTTCACCCAATTTGGGCTGAAAGGTAGTGAAGGTAATTTAACTTCTCAAGAAAAACCCAGTAAAAGTCCACAACTGGGACACTCAGCTCTGTCACCTGAACTGCAAAGACATCATACAAATAAGGCATAGGGAGCAGGTTAGGTGAGGTGGTTCTTCAGCTGCCACCTCCCCCAGACTCGCTGCAGCCCTGAGGGATGTGACTGTACCGAGTCAGTCCTGCATACTGACACCTGGTACACAGGAAGCTGTACGTCCAGTGCATTGAAGCCAAGTGGCAGCAAAGAGTTCCTGACTCTGATGTGCAGACGAACAGCCGGTTTTGGTGAAGTGCTGTTAGTGTTTTTAGAAAGGACACATTTTATAAACATGTGGAAGTCACTATGGAAATACAGGAGAGAAAGTCACCAGGCTGCTGCCTTGTGGGAGGTGGCTCACCACTGCTCCAGACAAACAACCTCAGAGACATNACCTCCAGGAGACTAAGAGGGTGAGGTTGAAACTTGCAAGGCAACACCCCAAATGAACTCTGAACTTCACTAGCTAGCTCCTCTGTGGAGGCAGAGTGCCCTGAAATAGACAGTGTTAAGAGATAACTGTGCTGTTATTCTTGTCTGAGGTCATACTCCAAATCCTCTTTCATAAGAAAGACCCGATTTTGATGAACTTCCTAAACATGATCTTGTTGAGTTCATTGATGTTAGCGTCCTCTTTGTTGTGATCAGTAGACTGATTTGAGAATTGTATCATCACTGTGTAATGACTGGACACCACTGTTTGCCATCTTTTCCTCTTGTCATCGTGTGTGTGGGGGTTGGGGGAGAGGGAATCCATTCCAGACTCATGAATAAATGATTTTTAAAATTCTGCCCTGAATAAACTGCAGCTGATAGTAACTTTTCTTTTATCACTTTGGTAATATCAGCCTCAGGGTTAAAAAAAATGTTTATGAGAAACAATCTCCTAAATCTTGTGGTGACAAAGAAGAAGGTTTTGTATCACTGTCGCTTTCATTTCTAGACTGTTCCTGTGAGGATGGTCAAGACCTGGGAGCCGCTCTGCACTCACAAATAACACTCTTTCTGCATGGAATAATCAGTGCTCCCTGTATTGGGTCATGGAGGGCTGCATATGTTATATATTTCTTTCTGCGATGTCTGTGTTTCATTTCCACCTTGCATTATTTAAACCTCAGTTCTCAGCTCAGAGTTAATGGATTCTTGAGGTGTTTGTTTCCTGTAACTCTTACGTAACCCACTTGCAGGTGTGGGAAATCTCTTGTTCTCGGTTTGAATCATCACAAGTCACAGCTAAACACATAACCCATGGTGGAAAACATTTACTCTGTGCAACTGAAAATTCCAAAGTAGACCAGTGTCTGGCACCCTCACTCTCGGCGGCTCCTGGTCCAGAGGAGAACCCAGGAGGCTGTCTGCCTTCACCCGAAGAGCGAGCTTCCTGAGTCCACTGGCCTCCAGCCCCTCCCGGGTAGGTCTTTTTGAAGTGAGTTAGACACTTCACTTAATCTTTTGGCTTCTGTTGGCCGAAAAGGGAGGTGTTAAGATCCCTTAATTGTAGAGTGGTAGAAAGGCAAAACAGAATGACTAAGACTACCTACCCACGGAAACAAGTCAGGTTTTCTGTTTGCTGAAGTTAGGTCCCAGTCTGTCTAAATTGGACTTTTATTGGGACTCATTATGATGAAAATTCTGCTGAGCTTTGATGGATGATATAGAAAGGTGCTATCTTTATAGAAATGTGTCTAAGCTTATCCAGGTATTTGATGTCACCTCGCAGGTTGCCCCAGTGGATCAGCAGGAGACCCAAGAGACCTGAGTTTGATCCCTGGGTTTGGAAGATCCCCTGGAGGAGGGCATGGCAACCCACTCCAGTATTCTTATCTGGAGAATTCCATGGACAGAGGAGCCTGGTGGGCTGCAGTCCATGGAGTCGCAAAGAGTCGGACACAACTGATGGACGACACGCGCACGTACACACACACACACACACAGGTTGCCAAGAACAGTGCTAAAAACCATCTTGTAGTGAGTGTTTCTGGTCACCCTTCCATCCCAGACTGCCCTCTGGCCCCTGGGGAAGGATGTTTTATTTATTTTTCAATAAACATTGTATTTTGCATAAAATAGTCCATTTCTAGATGAGAGTATACATCCCTGTACTTGTAAAGTGAAAAAGGGAAGGTAATGAAAAGATAGCAAGGAAAAGAAAAACAGAAGCCTTGTCAAAAATTATTTTTAATCAGAAGCTTCAGCAACGTGACTTTGCTTCATTTTACCCCTTTGCCCTAAATGCAGAGAAAGGTTTGGTGAAAGAAGCCATCCTGCTTCACTTCCCGCGGATCACTGGATCATAATGCTTGGGCACTGCTGATGGAAAAGAGGAACATTTCAAAGAAATACGAGGTACATGGCTCTCAGGGGCTGCCTGGTCATGGAGAATGATGTCCATGGGAGAGGTGAGTCCCATACATTGGGGAAGGATGTTCACAGCTCATCACCAACCCCCACTAATCCTCAGCGGGTACCATTCCCAGACTCTGGGTTGGGAGCTGGCTGGGAGTTGGTTTGGTCTGTCCCGCCTCTCCCCCTACCCCTGCTGTGCTGTGTTCCGCCCTTCGCAGGTGGGAAGGCAGCTTCTTCCTAATACCTGAGGGCTCCTTCCTGAATGTGACTCAGCTCGGCCTCCTGCTGCAAGATTATGTAAAGCATTTTCTCAGCTCTAATTGCCTGGCTTTCGTTCCTCAGCCCTGCAGGCTAAGAGCTTGGCTTTTATTTGAACCTTCTCCCTGTGTGGCTGTGGATCTAAGAAATTAGCACTAGTCTTATTTATTTTTAATGGCTTCTCGAGAGAAGGGCACATACTGGGGTATGCCAACGACGCTCGTGTTGTCTGCAGCTTTTTCCGCTGTGCTTTGCCCTCCACCGAGAGGCTACACAGCAAGCTGATCCCGGCTCCCACCCCGCTGTTTAAGCCAGCTCAGGAGAGTCACAATCCAGAGTTGAATTCAGCTCATCTCTACAATATTAACCATGAACCCAGATGGTGTTTCTTGTATTTTCCTGTTCCTTTTTTAAGAAATATCTTGTCCTGAAGGGCTCGTGACACTTGGGTATCTCCGCAGGTCCCATACAGAATTAGTAGACGTTTTCAGTCCATATTTGATGAACATTCTTAGAGAAGTCATGGAGAATCAATGTCCGGCCCAGTTCCTCCTCTTTATTCGTTTAAGAAAAAGACCACCTTGGGAGCACTGATCTGAGTCTTATTTCTGACTTCGCTGGCTCCGGGTGACCTTAAATAACTCACCAGAGGGGGACAGTCACTTCTTAGAAGGTAAAGTTTGCTGGGGACTGACCGGGCTCTTGGTAGAAGAACAACCTGTGGCCGCATTTCTCTCGGAACACCTGACTTGACTGAGGGCCAAGAAGCAAGGGTTTGGGATGGGAAGGGAAAGGGATTGACCTGGTTCTTCCCCAGTCTCCCGCCACTCAGCACGTCCCCCTCGAGTTCACGTCTCTGAGTTCCAGGGAGCTGCCATGCGGCAACCCGGTCCAGCAGAGCCCAGCCCCGTGGGACTCGTGGTCCAGCAGGACGTCCTGAACTGTCACAGGCTTCAGTAAAGGGGACGCTAAGGCTGCCTGGCAGCCTGTGGCCAAGGATGTAGCCAATCCCAGGGGATCAGAGGAGGCTTCCCTGAGAAGTGACGTCTGGACACACAGATCAGAAAGAGGGGCATGTGCTAGTTAGGGGGACTCTGGGCCTGGCCACACCCCGCTATGCCTCCAGGTTCCAGGAGATGAGGGACAGGTGTGGGTGTGGGCCAGTGGAACATTCTTTATCCTTCGAGTGAAGATGGCAGGATCCAAGCCACTTCAAGAAACAGAATCTGTCACCTCAGTGCCTGCATCTGGCTCGGAGGTCTGGTCTCCAGGGGGCCAGGTCAGTGCGGGGGGTGGGGGTGGGGAAGGGGGTTGAGTGGTGACTGGGACATCAGCGGACGTTTCGGAGATTTTTATTCGACTTGGAATCCAGATGCTGATTATGCAGAGTTGTTCTTTCCTGTTCCTGGGCCTTTGCTCATACCTCCCTCCCCCGCTCCCGCTGCTAGCCCAGAAAACGCATGCACATTCCTCCTTCTACCTTCAGAGTCCTTCAGAGTCCCGTCTATCTGAAGCTTGGGCTCTGGGGTCAGATAACAAGGCTGAGCCCTGGTTCCATCTCCTGCCAGCTGTTTGACCTTGCAGAGGCAGAGGGTTACTTCACCTCTTCATGCTGCACCTCTTTGTCTGTAAATGAGGATAATAACAGTGCCTAGGCTTCCCCGGTGGCTCAGCAGTAAAGAACCCGCTTGCCAATGCAGGAGACATGGGTTTGATTCTTGGGTTGGGAAGATCCCCTGGAGGAGGGAATGGCTACCCACTCCAGTATTCTTGCCTGAAGACTCCCATGGACACAGGAGCCTGGCTGGCTATAGCCTAGGGGGATCGCAAAGAGTCAGACACGACGGAGTGGCTAAACACCAACAGTGCCTACCTCCTGTCATGAGCTGACTGGAGTGCTTAGGAGAATGCCTCAGGAAGGGTTATTGAGTATTAACATTTAAGACCCAGAGCTCTTGGGAGCCTGACAGCTTCCACATTCGGAGTCCGGGCATTCTTTTCTTCTTAGCACTTACTTGGTCGGTGCCCTTCAGCCAAACAGCCCCAGAAGCAGCCCTGAAGCTAAACAATCAGGGTTGTAGCCAGTGAGAGTCCAGACCTGGAGCCATGGGGAGTCCCAGCAAGCGGGGCTTAGGAAGAGCTTATTGAGGATTTGGGGGGAGCCTCTAAGGATGTGGGGCTCTGCCCAAGATTGGAGGCTGCCAGGAAGTAGGCAAGTCTGCAACTGGGCATTTCGATGGGTCTTATCTGTGGGAAAGGAAGACGAGCCGGAGGATGAGCTGGACTTGGTCACAGAGCAGCAGTTGCTCCTTCTGGCTAAGGGGTGGTTGTTTGATATTCCGTGGGTGGCTCACTGACCTTATTTTTTATCTGTGCTTAGACACAGTTATGGAGTGAACTTGCTCTGTCTCATCTAGCCAGTCTCCTCGTAACCTCTCCTGAGGTTGGTATTCTGCAGGTTTATCAGTTCAGTTCAGTCGCTCAATCATGTCTGACTCTTTGCGACCCCACTGCAAGTTTATGGCCACTTTCTAAATGTCAGAGGCTGCTCTCTTTTTCTCTCTTGACCCATTAATTATTTATTTGAACTAGTTTTTTCTTCCTCAAGAGAAATTGTAAGTAAGTGAACGTATTCATTCATGCAACAAAACAATAGCTGAGTATCTATATGGACAATGTGCCAGGCAAGATACAGCGGTAAAAACCCAGCCTTCCTTCAAGGAGCTCCAAGTCACAAGTTAAGACTGAAAGACTGTCTGTGTCAGTCTGTTTTGCTCATCAGCTTGCCATCAAGAAGTTTTCCATCCTGCCTGGAACTCCCAAACCCCTGCTCCCACGAGGCAGGGTTAGGAACTCAGTGTGAAGGTTGGACCTGCCACCCCTCCCCGTTCCTTGCACCCCTTGGACTGTGTCTGCCCAGGAAGGGCTGGGGGACTAGGTGTTCTGTGCATTTTCCATGCTGTATCCACGTGTGGTCCACAATCAGGAGGTGTAAGGGAACTCGACACCCTCGCATCTCAGCGCTGTGCGCACTCCTCTCATAGTTTTCTCAGAAGACGATTTTAATTCAATAAACTCCTTAATGTTGATTGTCCTTTCTGAATGGCTTTGCTCTGTAGCGTGATTGTGTTTGGCTGGAGGTCAGAGACCACCTTACAGTTCAGCTCAGTCGCTCAGTCTTGTCCGACACTTTGCGACCCCATGGACTTCAGCACGCTAGGCTTCCCTGTCCATCACCAACTCCCAGAGCTTGCTCAAGCTCACGTCCATCATATTACAGGGGGTTCCTAATTAGACCAGCATCTGGGCGTGAGATGCTGTTGTAAGCAGTGGACACTAGAGGGCAGCATCTCACCCAGACCACGCACAGCAAAGTCAGGCGCTGCGCTCCCAGCGCTAAACTGTGGAGCACAGGGGGAAAGGACACCCCAGAGAGTTTCTGGTCTCCTCTGCTCAAGTCCATACGGGGCTGCATTCATCCCTTTTGTAATAATTGCTGGGAGAAGTGAGCCCCTTTCAAACAGTAACCTCTTAACAGGTTTTGTTTATTTCTTTTTAAAGCAATTGCTTTTTGTTTGAAGCACACAATGCAGGAACTCCCTACATCAGGTTCTTTAAAACATACACATCTTCTCTTCTGTTTTAGATATCACCAGAACAGTGTGATGGGGTATTATGTCTGAAGCCTGCCTGCGGAAGGGCTGGGGGAAAAATTTCTTTGTCCCATTCTTTTTTTTTTTTAATTGGCATCATGTCCAACAGTGGCTCAGTCAGTAAAAAATCTGCCTGTAATGCAGGAGCCCCAGGTTTGATCCCTGGGTCAGGAAGATCCCCTGCAGGAGGGAATGGCAACCCACTCCAGTATTCTTGCCTGGAGAATTCCATGGACAGAGGAGCCTGGTGGGCTATAGTCCATGGGGTCGCCAAGAGTCTGACACAAATGAAGCTGCTCAGCACAGCACATCTAACCTCTAAAATATTTGCCCAGATAACCTTTTCCCATCCCATCACTGAATCTTTATTTTCTTTTCTCATATGAAATTTTATGTCACCCAGCAAATAATTTCGGAGTACTTTCTGAGTCCATAAAGACAAAAATAGTTAACTCTTCAAAGCTTCCCTCTCCAGTCATCAAATTAAGTAAAATCACCATTTCTAATCCTATAACTTCTTTCTTGCCTTACTCCATTGCAAAGTCAGCACCTTAGGACATTCTGCATACGCTATGTTCTTTACCAAACGTGTGTCCAAAAGTTGGGCCTTAAACTTAGCTTAAGATGGGAATCTTTGACATATCAACACGTATTTCTTTTAAAATTTTGAATATTTTTTATTTACTTATTTGGCCGCACTGGGTCTTAGTTGTGGCATGTGAGACCTAGTTCCCTGACCAGGGATCAAACCCAGGCTGCCTGCATTGGGAGTGCACAGTCTTAGCCACTGGACCCCCAGGGAAGTCCCACAACACCCATTTCTGAAATCCCTCTCTCAAAGTGCGAGGAATTGAACTTGCTGCACTGCGGAGTTTTAAAAGGTAAACTTTCACACTGTTCCTGTGAAATGGAGGTGGGGTGGAGGGTTGGGTAATAACCTGTCACTGCGAGGACAGGAAGTTGACTCCCGCAGTCACATGTCAGGGTCAGAGCTGGCGGAGACCCCAGACACAGGCTTTGTGGTCACCCGGCCAGTGATCTAGCTTTTCCTGCCTCTTTGTTGTAACGTGGCTGTCGTTGCCTGAGCTTGGCACTGATAACCTCCATTAAAAAAAAAAAAATCTATGTATTATAAGATTAACATTTAAAAAATATACGTGTCATGGGTTTAGCATTTTCTGTTTGTAAAGCAGTGTGCTGTCATAGAAAATACAGGTTTCAGAGTCAGACCACCCTATGTGACAGACCCAGCTTAGCCCCTTTCTAACCGTGTGCCTGGGGGAAGTCACCCAGTTCCTCCCAGCTGCTGCTGCCCTGTCTTTTTTTTCGGATTTGTGTATTTATTTATTTTTGGCTGTGCTGGGTCTTCATTGCCACGTGGGCTTTCTCTGGTTGCCACGAGTGGGGGCCGTGCTCTAGTTGTGGTGCGTGGGCTTCTCACTGAAGTGGCCTCTCTTACTGAGGAGCACGGCCTCTCTTATTGAGGAGCACGGGCTCTAGGGCACACCAGCTTCAGTAATTTGGGTGCTTGGGCTTAGTTGCCCCCTCGGCATGTGGAATTGTCCTGGACCAGGGGTCAAACCCATGTCCCCTGCACACTGGCAGGCGGATCCCTAACTACCAGGACCAGCAAGGGAGTCCTCTTTGGCTTTTAATGCTGTTGTAAGTTATCAGAGACTGGGCGCATGAATGCGCTCGACACAGTGTCTGATGTACGTTAGCAGCTCCACGCTGGGGCCCGGTTTTATGGCTGGCTGAGTTCTTCCCAGAGGTGGGCGTCCATCCCTTTGGGCCAAGGTGGAGGCCCAGAAGGTCTGGGAGAAGTGACCTTGCGGAGCCAGAGTCGGAGCCCAACACAGACCTTCGCCTCTCAAAGAGCTTGAGAGCACGAGATGCAGGCGAGGAGAACTGAGGCACAGATAGGCCAAGCAGGACGGGAAGAATCCGTCTGTGATCTGGATGCCAGCCCGCTTCCAGACAGCCCCGGTGTGCAGGGGGCAGAGCACGTGGTGCGCCAGGGTAGCAGGATTTCAGATATTCCTTCCAGCCCGAGGACTCTCTGTTGAGAAGGCTTCGTATACTTTCATTGTCAATGATAACAGCAGTAGCACTTAATGCTTTGGCCTTTCCTAGGTGACCGTGGCCTGCTCTCAGGTCCTCAGTGTAAGTGCAAGCTTTAGTCACTCAGTCGTGTCCGACTCCTGGTGACCCCATGGACTGTAGCCCGCCAGGTTCCTCTGTCCATGGGATTCTCCAGGCAAGAATTCTGAAGTGGGTTGCCATTCCCTTTTCCAGGGGATCTTCCTGACCCAGGGGATTGAACCCAGGTCTCCTGCATTGTAGGCAGATTCCGTACCATCTGAACCATTTTCTTCTCTTTTCTTCTGGCAGAACCTAGCTCGTTGCCTTCAATACTGGCACATCTCTTTGTTGGTTTTAAAGTCACCTGCATTAACCCAGGTCTCATCTTGGCTCTTTCCAGACCTTGGCAGACCACTTGCTCCCCCTGGGGCTCAGCTCCGTGTCTGTAGAACAAGGAGGTGGTCGAAGGCCCCTTCCGGCTCCTGTCTTCTGTGAAACACAGCTCCCACTCTCTCAAAGCTGTTGAAAATAAAAGCAAGGTCACCTCTGCAAAGCAATTTATGTTCGCAGCTCTCCGGCTTAGCATCAGACGTGGACCATAAAATGGTAAGTAGACAGAACACCAAATAAGAAGCGGCATATATTGAAATAAAGGACGAAGTAGCAGAGAGCGAGGGTGTTTTCAGTGTAGCCAGAGCTGTTTGAGAGAATGTGGACCCTCTTGCCGGATGACGTTTGAGGGTCTGGTCCATTGTAATAAGAGGGATGATAGCACCAGGGGTGTGTTCTGCTGTCACACGGGTTGTCTGCCACCCACGGGCAGGCAAGAACCTCAGAGGGGCTCTAGATTTTGAGGAATTTCCCCCAATGAGTAAGGTCATGCAGGATAAGGTAGCTGGCACATCCCAGGGTGGTAAATCCCCACCTAGAGCAGGGAGAATACGGTGGCATCCCACGAGGCTGACTTCATGCCTTGGTCTTCTACAAGAGAAAGCAAATTGCAGAGAAATGAGATGGGGGGGGGGGCGTTCACGTTGAATCAACTCTTATGCACATGCAAAGTTAGATCACTCAAAAATAAATGCCCTTCATCGTGATAACAATTTACACATCACAGCTATTTGGAATCTGCTAATCAAGGGGAGAAACTCAGGATGGGAAACCAGGCATTTGCATTATTTAATGTGTAGCCAGTGCCACAGGTTTATGGTTCACTTACCTGCCAGTGGCACAGTGTTCACTTTGGAACTCAGGGAAGATCAAAATCTATGTACTCTCTGGACTAATATGGCAGCGAAGAAGCTTCAGAAATATACAGCAGTATGGGGCGGTGATTATTACAGTAGCATTTGGGCTCCCCTGGTGGCTCAGCTGGTAAAGAATCTGCCTGCAATGCGGGAGACCTGGGTTCAGTCCCTGGGTTGAGAAGATTCCCCGGAGAAGGGAAAGGCTACCCACTCCAGTATTCTGGTCTGGAGGATTCCATGGACTGTATAGTCCATGGGGTTTCAAAGACACAACTGAGTGACTTTCACTTTGGCAAATCTGAATAAAGTATTTGGGGTGGAAGTAATGAAACCAAACCCACCCACTCATTAGCCTTTAATTCACTCACATCCTAAAGAAAATAAAAGGAACTAAGAAGTTTTGGTAATATGAGGCATCAGTTATTAAAACTACCAAATGAATGCTCAACATTAGGAACTGTTGCTTGTTGTTTTAGTCATTAAACATCACAACAAGGTCCGACTGTCCAGCAGAGAGAATTCTATTCAATGTCCTATGATAAACCATAATGGAAAAGAATATATGAAAAAAGACTGCTATATATGTATAACTGAATCACTTTGCCATACAGTAATAATTAACAAAACACTGTAAATCAACTATACTTCAATTAAAAAAAATGAAAAAAACCATCGATTGGTCATCCACTGTATGCTGGGGGATAGCCATTCATTCACCTACCAGGCTGGTGCCAGGACCAACTTGAAAGATGAAGAACGTGTGGTCCTCACCTTCTGAGGTCTCTTGGTCGAGTGAAGAGACACACGGGTCAACAAGTGAATGATAACTCCGTGTGATAAGTGCTGGTCAGAGAGTTGAACTCACACATCCTGGGATATACAAAGGTGTCAGTCGTGCCTGGAGAGCAGGTGGATTTAACTTGAGGGTAAGGCCACTTCCTACCTTCCTACCTTAATCAGTTGCTCAGTCGTGTCTGACTCTTTGCAACCCTATGGACTGCAGCACGCCAGGCTTCTCTGTCCTTCAGTATCTCCTGGAGATTGCTCCAATTCATGTCCATTGAGTTGGTGATGCCATCCAACTGTCTCATCCTCTGTCTCCCCCTTCTCCTCCTGCCTTCAGTCTTTCCCAGTATCAGGGTTTTTTCCCATGAAGGAAGATATACAGCTGAAAAAGTGAGAAAGGACAGTCTAATCCAGGCAGACATGAGCTTGGGCAAATGTAGGGGGCTGGAAGGGACGGAGGTTGTCTGTGTCTGAGGAACAGTGTGCAGGCGTGGCAGCCATGTGTGCTTAATCAGGAAGTAGAGTGGAATTCTCTCTACATTAGTCTCTTTGATTTGTCTCCTTCGATGGGATAGTGGATCCTGTTCACCAGGGTGGGAGAGACATGAATTGAATCGTATGAGAAGCTAAGTCCCCACTGTATCTGAGACCAGTCCTGGCGTCTGGCTGCCCAAGCCCAGCTGGCCCTATGCCCGCTCCTGCTCAGCCTGAAAAGAGCAGGCAGGTCTCCAGCTGTCTGGCAGGATGAGGGTCGCAGGGTGACCAAGGGGTGCTTGGAGCCCTGATACGTGTGTGTGTGTGTGTGTGTGTGTGTGTGTGTGTTACTGCCTGGCCCGCGTGGGTCTTGGCACTGCGTCCACCCACAGAGCCCTTTTCCATCCCTTGCCATCTGGCCTCTGAACCATGGGCAGCAGGATCTCTGCCAAGAGTCCGACGTGATGGTTTATGTTTCTCTCCTTCAGCTGATTTGTTCATGTCTCAGGTCACTAATCCACTGCGAGAACTGGTGATCAGATGTCTGTCACAGAGGACCAAGGTTGTGAAGGGTGTGGCTGCTACAGCAGAAACAGCAAACTTAAAACGTGTGGTGTGCACTACCCCGGGGCCTTGTGCATTGAATTCTCCCAGTGAATTTCTTACTTTTTGACCAAAGATGTTGTTGGTCTTCCCAGACTCCTTTTTCAGAAGCCTATAGATTCCTTCCTTGCCATATTCACCAGGAAAGTATAATTTAATTTGCATACAGTTTTCTTGGATCGAATAAATCAGCTGAAAGCAGCTGTCTATGTTTTTCTCCTTCTGATTTACTTCACACTGTGTGATAGACTCTAGGTCCATCCACGTCTCTACAAATGATTCAGGCTGAGTAATATTCCATTGTATGGAATGGAATATTCCATTGTATATATGTACCACAACTTCCTTATCCATTCATCTGTTGTCAGTGGACATCTAGGTTTCTTCCACATCTCGGCTACTATCAACAGTGCTGCATGAGGTACATGTGTCATTTTGAATTATGATCTTCTCAGGGTATATGTCCTTCTGTGGGATTGTTTGCCCCCACTTTGAAAGAATAATGAGTTTCAGGAGTACACCCACCAGACTTCAGTTCTCTGTGAGTGAGGCATATGCTATATGTCTGTATCTAGCACAGTATGGTATTTAGCAATATAGACTCTGGAGCCAGGCATTCTGGGCTCACATCCTGCCAGGAGAACTTGCAGGCCGTGTGGCCCCTCTGTGCTTCAGCTGCCCCATCGGTAAGGCAGCACGGGTCTCCCAGCTGTGATGGCTGCATGGGTGAGGACAGCTGAGGGTCAGGACACAGCCTGGGCTGTGAGTACTGGAGATCAAACCCACTGCCCAGCTCCTCCTGGTCTCAGCACAAGTCTGTGAATGAACAGCAGCAGCCTTCGACTGCTCACCTGGCTGGATCCCCACAGGTATCCTTGCCTCTGGATCAGAAATGTAGGGACAGAGCTCTAGGGGAGAAAAAAAGAGTGGTTGGAATGACTGGCCAGGGAGGCAGTGAAATATCTTTCTTTGAGGTTCTCCTAACAATCTTGATTCTCCTGGGTCGAGAAGGCAGGGGTGGAGTCCTGTGTGTCTGTGAGGAGCTGGAGGCATGGGAGGGAAGGGGCATATGAGCTCTCAAACAAGAGAAAGGATGGTCCTGACTCTGACCTCACACAGGTCCACTCTGGCAATAGCTGCTAAGCTCCACCAGAGGGCGCCCTGGGGTTAGCATCCCTGAGCCAGGATTAGCTCACACCCTTCCAGGGGGTCTTAGTGGGACTTCTCAAGGGCTGTTCTTGGTCTCTGTTGAATCTTTACCTCCTGGAGCCTTGGCATTGTCAGCATCCACCCTTCATTCTTTTCCTGTGACCCCGAGCCTCTGGTTAAGAACGATGTCCTGTATCAATTCACAATATTTAGAGCTCATGGTGAATGAGACTCTGAGATTCCTCAGAGGGAATTGTCTGGGGTCTTCTAAGCATTATGGATGTGGCAGAGCCGCTCAGTGTCAGCCTGTCTTTAATATATGTGTCTGTGTGCATGTACACATGTGCACGTATAGACTCGTGAATGTAGTAAGTGATCATAGAGCCTCTTGAAAGTGAGAGGACAGTGAAAAAGTTGGCTTAAAACTCAACATTCAGAAAACTAAGATCATGGCATCTGGTCCCATCACTTCATGGCAAATAGATCGGGAAACAGTGGAAACAGTGNAGACCCTGACATTGGGAAAGACTGAAGGCAGGAGGAGAAGGGGATGACAGAGGATGAGATGGTTGGATGGCCTCACTGACTCAATGGACCTGAGTTTGAGTAAACTCCGGGAGTTGGTGATGGACAGGGAGGACTGGCGTGCTGCAGTCCACGGAGACACAAAGAGTCGGACACGACTGAGCGACTGAACTGAACTGAGATGTACATGTACTTAGAAAATATAACGTTTATACTCATGTTCCCTTAAACTATAAAATGCTTTACTTCTCTTACTGCTTGAGGCTTCTGGCTTGCTGTGTTCCCTCTACTTTCCCAAGACTGCAATCTCCAGAACTTAACTCATTACTGAACCAAACTCAGTCCCTTCCTCTGAGTGCAGTAAAGTTCATCTACCGACACCAGGTTGTAAAGAAAGAAAGGAGCGTTTATTGCAGGTGCCAAGCAAAGAGTCTAGGAAAGCTAGGTGCTCAGAACACCTGGACTCCTTAAAGGGTTTCTCAAGAAAGCATCGTTAAAGGCCAGGTGAGGGAGGTGAGGGTCCAGGGTATGTGATCTGCTCATGCGGTTCTCTGATGGGCTGATGGTGGTACCAGAGTGGTGTCACAGGGGTGAACATGATCAGTCCTTAGCCTCCAGGAGGCCTGGGGGTATGTGTTCATGGTCGTCAGGTAGTTAGCGTTTTCCATTTGGTGATGGTTTTAGCATCTGTAAAAAAAAAAAAAACTCAGGAAGTTTGAAGAAGGAAATGTAATAGGAAGATTTGTTCAATGTAGAAGAGACTGGCACTATGGAGAGGGTGCCTGGAGAACTCTAAGGGGAAGAGGACGAAGGGAAAAGTGG